CTATGTATAATCTCAATGGGAAGTATCTAAATTGAAAGAAGATATAAAAATTCTTAAAAAAAAAAAAAAAAAAAGAAATTAAAAAAAAAAAAAAAAAAAGAAACCTTGCTTGATCAATATTAGGTCTAACTTGGATATATATGTGCGATTATTATACATATATATGTAAGAGTAATAAGAAGAAAGATTAAAAGAAAGCTTTGTTGATCCAACACGTATATATATCTCCAAGATATCAAGAAATACTCGAGAAATTAATAATTGGTCGAAAGATTTGATGAGCTTGCTTGCCTCGATCCATCCTTCTTCCCCTTCACTCTTTGCTTTGCGATATGTACAATTGATCATGCCTCGCTTTTATTAACAGCAGCAATAGCCTTATGCTTATTATTATTGTAAAGAACTAAGCTTAAATTTGTAGGACGCTTTACATCATCAGAAACATCTCTCTTCTGAATCTGCAGCGGAAGACCAGCTTTTTGTGCAGCATCTACACTAACTGATTGTGGGCGAGGATAAAAGAAATCAGTAGGGAAAAAGTAGTATTGTTGAAGGCCAGCCATGGAAAGAAAAATCAAGAATCAAGAAAGCTAGCTAGCTAGCTATCAAGAATCAAGAAAGCTACTTCAGAAAACTATAGTACCAAGAACAAGAAAGAAAGGTTTCTTTGGTTGTGGTATAGTGTTTGCTTACTCTACACAGATCATACTTGTATTATATATAGAGAGAAGAGAAGAGGCGAGGCGGCATTTATGACTATAATTTTTTTTTTTTTTTTATTGAGTTGGAATTTAAGTTAGGAGAGGGTGTGCTAATTATTTAAGAACCCTTCCTTGAACGTGACTTACTTACGTCTACTTTTAAATTAAAAATTAATTTTTATGTCTTTTAATATTAGTAAAAAATTCAATTATAGACTAATTAATTATAAAAATATCGGTAGTCAAATGTTGACTATATATATGTTCTCAATTCTCAAGTCCAAGCATGACTAAATGTGAAGCAAGCAAAGCATGCTTCGTTTGTGTACTCGTTGTCTTAGCAATTAGCATATTCTTTTCATATATTCGTTTTTTATAATAATATAAAAAGCAGCCTCCCAACGTAGATTGCACGCCATTTGAAATTAACATGCCGGCTCATGCCATTTGAAAGAGACAAATTGCTTATTTCAAGCCATCAATCTAAAAACCTAAATAATTACTTTATATTAGAGAATTGTTAAATGTCATAACTTATTTATTGGACCGTCCTCTTCTACACCATGTTGTTTTTGTTTGTGATGTTTTTTAATGCAAGTGTCCTTATAATATTCAAATAGAATCATTCCAATAGTGATAAATTATACTTTTGAAATTTTCTAATTTTAATTTTCACATATCGAACCACCTGTTAATTTTTTATTAGTCAATTTTGTTAATCTATACAATCACGCGTGATGCACATGCACACGTTCTTAAACCGTTTGATTTGGAAACTATGGTAGCCATATTTCTAACATGTGATGCACGCAATGGTTCACGTGGCCAAAAAAAAAAAAAAGAAAAAAGAAATGTTTGAAGCGGGGATGATTCTTGGAAAGTGGAAACTTTGGTACGTATTTGGTAGGTAATATTAGCTAACCATTGTTTTCACGTTTTGTTTGGTATTAACTCCTAACCCTAAATGAATGGTGTTGGTTGATATAATTCTTGCATATCCTACAAAGTTGGCCGCAAAAAGATTGTCGAATTTGAATATTCTTAATCATAAAAATGATATTAATTAATAAATATTATTTTAAAAAATTTAAAATATTATTTCAGTATATTAAACACTTCATAAATTAGAATAAAAAAAAATACTTCCAACCCCAAATAAAAAAGAAATAATTAATTGACTTTTAGATTGAAATTGCCAATATTTCTTCTGTTACAGATTGGTTTGGTGAAAGAGTTGTTGTGGGTTATTTAATTTTTATTTATTTTCTCACATTAAAAAAAGTACATTTTAACACAACAATCAAATTTATTTTTCTTCTTTTATAGTTAGGAACCAAATCTAATTATATTGACTTAAGTCCCTCCTCAAATTATATTGAAAACACAAATTTAATCGTATTGGTATTTGCATATTTGATAAATTATGTGTTAGTTTTGTAGTATTAATTAGACACTTGTTATTTTCAATTAAAAAAAAAAAGAGAAAATACTTATATTAATTTCTTGATGGTAGTGAAATTTAATAACTATAATCTCAATTAAAAGTATCTAAATTGAAAGAAAATGTAAAAATTCCTAGACAAAAAAAGAAACCTTTCTTAATCATTGCGTCTAACTTGGATACATACAATTCGATTACAATAGGATATATGCAATTGTTATACATATATATGTAAGAGTATAATAAGAAGAAAGATATTAAAAGAAGAAAAAGAAAAAGCTTCGTTGATCCAACACCTATATATCCAAGATATCAAGAAATACTTAAGAAATTTATAATTGGTCGAAAGATTTGATTGGCTGCCTCGATCCGTCCTTCTTCCCCTTCTCTCTTGCTTTTGCGATATATAAAATTAATCATGCCTTGCTTTTATTAATAGCAGCAATAGCCTTATAATTGGCATGATTATTATTATTGTAAAGAACCAAGTTTAAATTTGTAGGACGCTTTACATCATCTGATATGTCTCTCTTCTGAATCTGCAGCGGAAGAACAGCTTTTTGTGCAGCGTCTACACTAACTGATTGTGGGCGAGGATAAAAGAAATCAGTAGGGAAAAAGTAGTATTGTTGAAGGCCAGCCATGGATAGAAAAATCAAGAATCAAGAAAGCTAGCTGGCTAGTTAACAAGAATCAAGAAACCTACTTCAGAAAACTATAGTACCAAGAACAAGAAAGAAACGTTTCTTTAGTTGTAGTTTAGTGTTTGCTTACTCTACACAGATCATACTTGCATTATATACAGAGAGAAGAGGAGAGGCGGCATCTACAACTATATTTTTTTTTTTCTTTCAATATTGGGTTGGAATATAAGTTTAGGAGAGGGTGTGCTAATTATTTTAATGTATATTTTATTTGTTTGTTTCATTGTGCCAACTTAAAGAATATTCTATTAACAAGAATATTCCTTTTTTATTTGTATTTTTTATTTTTTAATATTTTTCTCAGCTCTGTTTTCTGTTTCAACCTCTTTGATGAGAGAACCAAGAAAGTTCTTTGCAGCACTTAGAGTGGATCAAACAATAACAATGATATGTGGCTTCTAATTTTTATAAAAAAAAAAAAGAATTATAAGTATTTATTTTTAATATATTAAATTTAATTTTTATATTGATTACTTTAAACTTATATTGCTCAAAAAATATTTCATAATTAGTATTTTGTAAGCAAAACTCGTAACGAAGTTATGTTTACATAATTTTTTAAGTTAATATTATATGGCTTGCTGAAAGGTTAAATTTACAATAATTTATATAAGAAATTATGGTTAAACGTCTTAAATTATTTGGAAGAATATTTATTTGCTAATAATATATATTTCATATAATTAATAGATCATAATTAAAAAGATATATATTTTATATTTTGGTCAGCTAAGTTGAATGACCTGTTTTAAAAAATAAAAATAGTGTAGTGTTCCCTTGCAAATTGACCTATTTGTTTGACACCAAAAGGCCTGGGCAAATAAGCTCCATGCCTGCATTTCAAAACAAAAGACTTGTTTGATGGACTGATAGTGAAATAATATGGTACTTCGTTTTTTTTTCCTCTCTCTCTATATATAATGATTCAATTCTATATTAGGTTTAAATTTTAATTTATATCTGTAAAATATTTTTAATTTAAAATATTCATTGAATTAGTAACAACGCTTGTGATGAAAATGAAATGTCTCGAACTCTGAGAATTTCATTTTTTTACCAAATATAAAAAACTAAATTACACTTGATTCACGTAAATTATTCTTTAATACGATTCAACGCCGCTTGATTAATCTACATCTCTTACGCATATATAGACACCAAAATATAAAAAACTGGTAATTGAAACATTGAATAAGCTATCTTAGATAATAAAAAATTTTCCTTTACAACGTATACAATTAATCATGCATTTCTTTTTTTAACTGCAGAAATTGCCTTATAATTGCCAGTGTAAAGAACTAAGCTTGAAGTTGCAGGGTTTTTAACATCATCGTCAGAAGAAATATCTTGCTTTTGAATCTGCAATGGAAGAGCAGCTTTTTGTGCCGTATCTACATGAACAGATTGTGGGCGAGGGTAGTAGAAATCGGTAGGGAAGAAGTAGTATTGTTGAAGGCCAGCCATGGTCGAAAAATCAAGAATCAAGAAAGCTAGATAGAAAGAAAGAATAGCAAGAAAGTTTCAAACATGTGTTTATTGTAGTATGAAGCGCATTTATTTATTTATAAAGATGGGTCTAGTCGACATTTATGACTATTATAAAGTTATATGTATATATAAATTTAATTTGACTTGAATTTCAATTTAGAAAAAGGTGGTTTTATTTATTTATTTTTTCTGGAATTTGTTTGTTTCTTGGAGTCTTGCAGAAAAATTTATTTTCTAGAATATCCCTTTGTTTTTCCTTAAGCACTTCGCAGTGAATTATCTAATAATGATAATTTCATTTGGCTTTTATCATTTATTAATTATAATAATTATCTAATAATAACAATTTTATTTGGTAAATGCATTCACAATCTCACAATTAATTTAAGGTTCTTCCTTTTCTAAAATAAAAAAAAAAAAAAGATTTTCATAATTTTTGTGATTTAATTTAGTAGAATGAGAAATACAAATCCAATTCTGAAAAAAACACAGGTATAGATGGAATACAAATCCATTTAAATGCTAAAAAATTTTTATTGTGTTTTTTCCAAATTTAAATTTGAGATTGTATATATATAAAGATGACGTGATTTAAATTACATGATCCACATATATAATGAAATTGTGGGACCCACATCTGACACAGGAGTTAAAACTAATCCGAGTTGAGTCAAGACTGAAAACGCACCGTTTAGTCTGACTCTAGCCTCTTCCTCATGATCACGATCCACTCTTCCAACCCGTAAACCTAATTTACGCTCCCAGATTTTCCCCAAATTCGATCCCTCTTCAAAATCCCTCCTGAACACACGACTCTCCTCGAATCTATGTTGTGATTCTAATCTTCGGTCTTGTTTGGGATATTATCGAGCAACTGCAGTCGAAATGCCGCCTGCGAAGAAGAAGATTAATCATTGGTAAGTCGATATTCTCTTCTCTACTTACAGGAAAGCATTTAAAAATAGTGATTGCTTTATATTGTATGAAGAATACTTTAAAGGGGTGATTTTATCAGCTACTAAATTGCTTATTAAACCAAATTAATCAACTTCTCAGTTGTAATTATTGTTTTACTGAGCCATATGTATGTATATGTTTGTATATACGCATAAAAAGTTTTTTGCCTGTAATGACTAATTTATGGTTTGAATTTAGGACTCTGTTTTACAAGATTAACCTCGTGTACAGTATAAAATTGCTTTTCAATTTGAGTTGATTATACATCTTTTCATATGCTTTGTAAAAAACATGTGGTTTCCAATTGGCCAAAATCTTGGTCATGAAGCAATATACTGAGGTGTGAACACAATTGCAATATTCTAACTTGGTGGAGATCATACATTTTTGCACATTATGATTATATCTGAATGTAAGCCAGTATGCTAGAATCATGTTTGGTAGATTATAATGAAAGTAAGCAGTAAGCACAGAATGAAAACATAATAAACTTTAAAAAAAATGATCTTGTTGTAGTTTACTGACTTGATATGTGTTGAAATATTTTTAGGTATAATCAGATTTCATAAAACTATTTCAAAAATGAAAATTGCGAAGAAACATAAAATTTGAAATCTCTTTTCTAAATAAAATTAAAAATAATCCACGTTCTTGCAAAGAGAAATATATTCGTCTTAAGGAGATAATTTATTTCATTACCAAAAATAAAATATGAAAATTTTAATTTGAAAATTTATAAAAATATAAGTAGTTATGCTTACAATTCATTTTCAATATTACAAACAGCCACTATCTCAGTAGCTTCATTCATCTTGTCTTTCACTCTCTTCATTTGCCGAATCTCACTGCCGATCCCAATTAAATCCCTAAAATTTTACTCCTCTGTCACAAATCACAAATCTTAAACTGTGTGTCTTCCTCAACTTCGCCAACAATAGTCTCTCTCTCTCTTACTGTTAGTGACCAAGTCCTAGTTGTTCTCAGTCGTCATTCGTTGATTCTCTGTCAAGACTACATAGATTCACCATCTTCAACTCAAAATAATAGGTTTGGTTTCTCATCTCTTTGTACTTTTATCTATTATTGATCCTTGGGCTTCTTCTCCCTTCTCCTTTAATTTTGGAATAAATCCATAATTTTAGGTTATACTCATTTGATATCTATGGATAATGTTTTCTTTGTTTTACTCTTTTTTAATGGTTACTGCAAAATTATGGTTTTTCAAGAAATGCAAATAGTAATTAGGATGATAATCGGATTGGTCTTTTGGTCAATGATAAAATTTGTATTTGTGTGGAAAGAAGTAACTTAGGATTGGAACATATATGTGACACCAATTATTTCAAGAGTGATGATTTCTTGTTTCTCTTGCTTCTAGGTGTTGTTATTTGTATATTACTGATTAGATTTTGGGGGGTTTTTATTTTCCTCTTTCTCTGAAATAAATCATAAAGTAGTGATTATATATCTGACTTATAGTTGCATTAGGGTTTTGTAGCTTTTAGGTTACATCTCTAATGCCATGAGTCAGTTAAGTGCTAGCTTAAGTCTCAGACTTTTCCTTTATCTTTTTTATGCGTATTTGGATCATGATATTGCTTATAGGGTTGGGATAGCTGTTTGTTATCAAGATGGTCTAAATATTGCTTGGTTTGGGTATTGTAGTGCTGATTTATTATATTGAAAAACCAAATCAATGTGTTGGTAATTGGAAGCCTTTTTGAACTCCAACGTGGAGACTTTGAGGAAGGCTGTTGATATTATATGATATTACCATATGGTTAGTGGATATGCCATTGCATATTTTCTAATTTTTTATCAGTATATCTCCCATAGGTATTTTCTCTATCAAATAAAGATGTTATCATCATGATCTTCTAACTATTAATATTAATAACAATCATTATTCTTGTACAGGTCTTTTGATTATCTGTTTGTTAAGATGAGCTTGTGGATGGCTATTGAGCTTGTTGGATGCATTATTTGGTCATGTTGATACACTAAATCCTTTACATGAGTGAAATTGCTTTGGAGTCATGGACAGTTTAAATATATATGCTGTATTATTGTTCCTGTGCAAGTGCCATTTAGACTAGTTGGGTGGACAAATCAGAAGTTCAATGCTTTATAGAATTTCTCAATTTTATTGCTTTTTACTTTCTCATAAAAAGAAAAAGAATAAGAGAGTTAAAAACATCATGCTTTATGTTCAGGAATTATTGGTTACTATCAACTTGAATACCTTTTCTGACCGTGATCTCCTTTCACCATTGTCAGGTGGTAGCAGCCACGAGCAAAGCACAGTTTACTCCAGATCCCAGCATTACCGACAAACAATATCCATCATCTTGCTGTTTAATTTTTTAGAAGAAGAAGAAGAAGAAGAATTAAAAGTTAGTCCAAAATGCTTTCACACCAAATAGTGCAATCTCCAGCAAGGCTGGGTCTTACAAACCCAAACTCACCTCTTCAAAACGCTACTCCTCCTAAATTCCCTTCATCATCCTCCCAACAACTACCAACCCCCCAGCAGCAGCAACTGCAGCAACACCCCTCAAATCCAGCCACCACATCCACATCCTCAGCTCTGCTCTCTCTCCTCCCTCCTCTCCGTAGAGCCCAATCTCTTCTTCTTCAAATGGCTTCCCTAGCCTCCAAATTCTTTGAAGTCTCTCCCAACCGGGCCTTTTGGCTCTCTGCCTTTCGTGGATCACTACCTACATTCCTCTCCTCCCAAACCCAATCAATGGCTCCACCTCCCCTAGAATCTACTCCTACCTCCACTAAGGAAGTTCTTTCTCTTTTCACTTCTCTCCAGACCCAACTTTTTGAGGCAGTGGCCGAGCTCCAGGAAATCCTTGACCTTCAAGATGCCAAGCAAAGGCTTGCACGGGAAATCAAGTCAAAAGATTCTGCACTTCTCAACTTTGCTAATAAGCTCAAAGAAGCTGAAAGGGTACTTGATATGCTTGTCGATGATTATTCTGATTATCGCCGCCCCAAAAGAGCAAAATCAAAATTATCAGCGGATGTTCCTGAGGATGATGATGTGAGCAATACCACTGTTGCCTCTCAGCTTGAGTTGTCTGATATTTTGTCTTATGCTCACCGGATAAGCTACACCACCTTTGCACCACCGGAATATGGTGCTGGGCAGGTTCCGCTTCGTGGTGCGCTCCCTCCTGCTCCTCAAGAAGAGCAAATGAGAGCTTCTCAGTTGTACGCTTTTGCTGACCTTGATGTGGGGCTACCTAAAAAGATTGAAACCAAGGAGAAAACCATTGAGGCAATTATTGAACTTCCCCCGCCAGCACAGCCTGCTGAGACCAACCCATTTGCCAATTTCCCTGCCATTCAGGGCTTGCTGCCCACCAACATCACAGTTCCATCTGGTTGGAAACCCGGGATGCCAGTGGAGTTGCCAACAAATTTACCCCCACCGCCACCAGGGTGGAAGCCCGGAGACCCATTGCCTCCATTGGAGTCTCTTCCTCTGCCTAGGATGGTGGAACAACAATTGCAGCCAGTTGCTCCTCAGGGATTGCATAAGCCACCTGAGACAATTCAAGTTCGGCACGTTCAGATTGATATTCTTGATCAGGATGATGATAGTAGTGATTATAGCAGTGAGGAGGGGAGCTCTGATGACGAAGACTAAGAGGCTGATGATTTAAGTATTTGTCGATAGTATGTGATGTCCCAAAAATGAGTGTACTTATGCCTTACGATTTAATATACTAAAAAAAGGTCAATTCTCATTCCATGCCCTTTCTGCTTATTGATGTTGCCAATGATTAAATGTGAAAAGTGCCAAGTTTATAGAGAATCTAATGTGTTGCTTGGTTCTCCAAACATGTTTGCAATTTGGATACTGCTCTACACAATTTTGCCTTTCTCCCTACAGGTCTTACCTAGGTTATCAACAGGGACTTCCCAACCTAGTAGGACTTTCATTCCCTAATAGTTGCCTCATGTAGCTGAGCTGTTAAGCCCACAAATGCTTGTTGCTGAATTATTATGTAAATACTGCTTTTTTTTCATTTGATATAGGATTGTTATTAATTTAGTTGCTTTCTCTCAGTTATTATCTTATTCGTGAATGCTATTCTTTGTGATTGTGCTGCTTGATTATGAAGTTGGTGTGGCTGTGCTGCTTGCTATGCACTGTTGAAATTTTTCGCATTGTTAGGTTAGGTGAAATTGAATATGAGCAGTGAAATCAAATATTCTTGTATATATACTGGATTGGAACAGTATCATTAAATTTAAAATCATATCATCACAACATTTTCTTCAACTACTAGAGTCCCAGAGATTTGCTATATTATTTGTGCTGCATAGAGTGGAGGAAGGAACTGTTGCTTTAGAAGCAGAGAGCTGTTGAGAAAGGTTTTTTTCTTGCATGTTATACTTCACTTTGGCTTTGTTTAGCTTTTCCATATCTTCTTTGTCTCTTTTCTGGGTTTGAATGTGAACAACTGGCGGCTTGTTTGCGCTGTCTCTGTCCGCCGTTGGTGGTGGACGAGGGTAGAAGAAATCTGTAGGAAAGAAGTAATACTGAAGACCAGCCATTGGTGAAACTTGTGGTTGCTGTGAGCTAAATTGATAAAACTTGTGACTTTTGAATATGGGTTTTTTTATTTTGATGCCCCTTTCATATATTTATAGAGATGGGTGGCTGGTCATGGACTGGATTTTGCCTTGGCTTGGGCATCAAGTTGATTGTTTTGTTTTCGTTTCCTTAATAGGATTTGAATTTACGCAGCTGTTTTTCTTTTCAGGTAGTCGTTTTGGTTTTTGACTTCTATCCTATGACTACTAGAAGGAGAAGCTTCTTAAATAAAGACAGCCTTTGTTTGTTTTACAAGATAATATTGGACTTCTTTTATCGTTATTATTTAAAAAAAAAAAAAAAATTTGCTTCAGCAAACATCTACATCACATCCTTTCTTCCAGAAGCAGTAGCCCGTTAGTGCCCGACAAAAAGGAATTCTTCTAGAAAATAGGAACAATAGCCCCTCATTCTCGAAGATGTTTTGGGACAATAAATTTCAAATTATAATTATTTCAATACAATTATTAAGGTTAAATGTCCTTCAGATACTATCATATACGAAGTGCCTTGTATTAATATAAATATATTAATGATAATTTTTTTTTGAAGGTTTATGATAATTGTATTTATATATATGTTAATTCTTTTTTATATACGCTGAATTTTATAAAAATTTCATTTTGTTTTTATAATCAAAATGCTTGATGAGCCAAATTTAATCCAAGTCTGTTACAAATTTAAATTCACTATTTTTTTTTTTTTATGTTTAAGCTGATTGAAGAACTCGTATATGTGTGAGAGTAAATCTTTTACTTGTTATAATATATCAGACTTCGTCATATAAATATTTAATTTCGAATTAAAATCCTAAATCTAAATTTTCTTTTTAAAAGTTAAAAAAGCATTAAATACAGAAATCTAACAATAAAAGTTCAACGTCTCCGTGTCCATCTGTACACTGTCTCTTATACTATGTGGAAGAACTGAAGCTTGCTGCAACGACAAAGGTGAGAGCCAGTTATTTTTTACATTTTTACATTCTTTTCAAGAATTTCTTTTAATGTGTAAATGTCGCTCTCTCATTATTTATATATTTATATCTTGTTTTGGATTTTATTATGTAAAAATATTTCCTTTATGAGTTTATTAATTTTCTGCCACTAAAGTCGTCGATCAAGTTCACATGATTTTGCAATTCTACTTTCTGGGTTACAATTTTTTTTTTTCCAATTTCATATCAAAGAAGAGGGTCATAATGGATTATCACTTTAATTAGGTGTTACTCATGTGTTTTCTGGAAAAGAACATCATATGCATAGCTGTTGTAGATCATCGACTAGAGTAATGTAATTTGATGGGTTTTGACATAAAAAATACATACATAAATAAGAATTGTCTATTATAAAATATGGAGTTTTATGTTTACATTTTCTATATTATCTGAGGTTCTCTGAGAATGAATAATGCATAGAATAAACCTAATAGGATTCGTAAACTCATTACAGAACTTCTATCACTATCTACAAGTATATTTACATCTCCTTTGAAACTTTCACTTGCATCTATCTGCTTCACTTCAACTCTCCAAAATGAAATGATGAACTCTGCTGAAATTTTTAATAATGCCACAAATGATAGCTTCTTGTCACCATACCTATACATGCACTAAACAAAGAATATGTCAGTATTCAATAATTTCAGTTCAAAGATGCTGAATGTTTTTAAGCTGTCATTGATCTTATTTTTGGATGCTCTATACTAGTGTGAAATTAAATTCAGGCTTGATGGATTTTGTATCTATTGAAGCTGCCTTACCTGGTATTTGACTACTTTCAACTTTCAGTAGTCGGAATGACTGTCTCAAATGCTTCTACAAGCAACTGCACTTTTCTTTTCCGAGCTGGAGTTAGTTTAGCAACAACATTTTGAAGTGCATAATCGAGCATCCATTCATCAGCATTTTTCCTGTCTTCCATGTCTTGATGCCTTAGTTGAACTTTTTCTGCTGCCTCCTCAGGATCCAAGGGCAAGAATCGTGGCTTCTGAGGATTGAATGGTTTAACATTAACCTTTTCCAATGCCTTGACAAATCTCTTAAGAAGGATAAGCTTTTTCAGATTGCTCCAGCTCTTTCGTGCTGGAAGTTCAGGTCTATTTCCCTCAAATGTTATTTTTACTTTTTCTGTAGTGGCACTGTCATCAGAATTTAGGCACATTGTGGATCTCTGCTCCATTTTTGTGCTGTTGGATTCTTCATAGCTCTTTTCCGTACTGCAGGTGGATGTTGAGATGGAAAATTCCCCTCCTTTGCCAGGTTGCTTTTCAAGGTGCTCCGTGTCTGGAATTACGTCACTGTTGACTGATTGATCATCAGGTGAGTCATCTTGAGCATCTGGAAGTGGTATTTCATCAATTGCTTCTTCAACCATTCTTATGGCTTCAATCTTCTGGAATTCCATTTTTTGGTTGCCTGCTGCATGATTCTCCATATCTCTATCCTGATTTGTGACAGAAGAACTTTGAGGAGAATCAGCATTGTTCATTTCATATGATGTGTTGGCATCACTCCTTTGTCCCTCATTGTCCGCCCTCTCATCAAGCGGGTTTGTGTTGCCTGATACCATGTGCTTATATATTAAGTACCAAAGCCTCGTATTTTTCTGCTTTTCATGTGCTTGTTCAGTGGAACCAGACTTAGATTCATCTAGTTGAGCGAATGCTTGGAGGAACTTATTTCGAAGCAATGTTTCTCCCCGAGTGGCTGACTCTTCTAGTTGTTCAGAGGCAGCAACTGAAGAAACCACATTGCAATCTGCAATTATTCCTGCTAAATTCTCTTGGATTTGGCTCTTGGGTTCATCTGATTGTTTACCAGTTGAATTGATTTCACAATTTGACACCATCTTTTGATTGTTGAATCCAAAAACATGATCATGAACCCCTGAAAAAGAAACCAGACTTGCTTCTTTGGTGACTTCTTGAAGAACTTCTCCATTCACCGGACTTTCATCATGAGAAATGCTTACAACATCAGCTGACATTGATAAAGGCTCATCATGTAAGTTTTGTTCTCCAAGCTCCGGTAAAGAGTAATTGATAGAATGGGGTTCATCATCCTTGACCATGCAATTTTGGTCGCCATTGCTAGGATTTGTAGCTCCAAATTGTTCCTTCAAGCCCATGGCAGTGGTTTCAGAAGCAAAGCTACTCACTGCTGAATGAGTACAATCAGATTCTGAACTTGGTTCATTGAGCTTAGAAAAAGACACCGGGATGTGCTCTTCTGCTGTGCAGGAATTGTGGAGTTGGTCTTGTTCCTCCTTGGAATTCATGTGGGAAGATGAAATTTTACGAAGAACTATACCAAATTTTGTTTCTTTCGCATATCCAGAACCTTTTTGATATAAGGAAGAAGTACGGTCAACTGGAGTTGCTTGTGAAGAAGCTGCTACGCTAATGCTTGGACTAGTTTCAGTTTCTGGTAATGGAACAACTGTTTCAAATGCTTGAACAAGCAAAGCTACTTTTGTTTTCTGAGCAGGGGCTAGTGTAGAAACAACCTGTTGAAGTGCATAATCAAGCATCCATTCTGCAGAATTTTTTCTCTCTCCTGTGGTCTGATGGCGTAGATGAACCTTTTCTGCTTCAGGTTGAGGCTGTACTGGTAGATACCGTGGCTTCCTTGGATTGATGTTCCTCACCTTTTCCAATGCCTTAACAAATCTCTTAAGGATAATTATTTTTTTCAAATTACTCCAGCTCTTGGGTGTTTGCTGGTTAGACTTGCTTTCCCTCTTTGATTCTGCTTTCCTTTCTTCTGGCCCATTTCTATTAATTGATTGATCATCACATGACTGATCTGGAATTTCTGAGAGAATTTTGTCAAATGCTTCCTGAACCAACTTAATGGCATTGCGCTTGTAGAGCTGAATCTTATGGTTGCCTTTGTCGTGATCATCCCGGCCCATGTTCTGATCTATTCCAGAAAAGTCCGAATAAGAATCAGACTTGTTCATCCCTGGAAAACTGTTCACATTGGCATCCTCCTCTTCTTCTTTCTTATCCATTCTATTATGACAGGGCAGCTTTTCATCTTCTGCAGCAATACCTGATACCATATGCTGATATATCAGGTTCCACAATCCCACATTTTTCGGCTTTTCTATTTGTGTTTTTTCTTCTACAACATTACAATCACTCTCAGAATCTGCCACTGAAAAGGGATGTTCCTGCAGAGAATCTTCATTCTTTTCTTCATTGGCTGCAGTTTGTTCTTCTAATAGTTCAGACATAGAACCATAAGAGGCTGAACTATTGATTGCACTTGATTCCACAGAGACATCTGGGGTTAAGCTTCTGGACGCATCAAACACATCATCAGATACACCTGTAGAAGTATTTGCCTCCGAGCTGATCGATTCCAGGTCACCTTCATACACATCAATGTATTTAGGATGATCAACATTAGGATCATGCTTATGAGCGTTCGATGCATTAATACCCGAAGTGATTTTATTTGCCTGCATTCCTTTCCTTAAATGACTAGAACTTTTTCTGCTTTGAAGTGATTGGCTTCCCAATTTTATGCTTTTCTGGGTCTTTAACTGGCGTCGCCTCATTGATATAAAGCGTCTTAATGGAGGTAAGGGTGCATTGCGATGGCCATGAAGTGAACAGTAACTATATGGACAAACTTTCAGAACTGAAATTCCTTCAGATTCACTTCCTCCTGGTTGGAGCTCAAGATGATCAGGAAAGTTGGAATCTTTAAGAATCGAAGAACAGGTAGCTGTCTGTATGCTTGAGTCGAGCAGTTTTGATGATTTCTTCATGGAAGGCCTCTTGGTTCTTAAACTGGTCGTTCTTGGTAAGATCATTAGAGGTCTCAAAGAAGACATTCTTCTTATTGCCTTTGTAGATTTATTACCCGAAGCCACTGTTTTATCAGATGAGCCTTTTTTATCTGCATTATTAGATAAAACAATGGAAGATCTATTTCCAAGCCTGATTGATCTCGATTTCTTCAGTTTCTTCTTGAGGTCTGTTCCCCCAGAAGATTTTCTCGACAAAGATCTCCAGAGTTTTATGCTAGACAGCCTTGTCAAACTCTTTTGAGGCTTAAAACTAGACCGCTTTGTCAAAATTTTGACGGATTTCTGCATAGGAAGGAAAATATATTGTTCAGATTACAAAAATTCAGATCATTGTAACTACAACTTCTGCTAAGAAAATTAGATTTACAGTTTTTTATATCTTGCCTGCAAAATCTCCTTCTTTGCATCAGAAGAAGCAGTGGTCTTGGTATAATTTGGTGATCCATTTGCATCAAATTGATTTCTTCCGTGTCTCGTGCTTACCTTCAAGCTTGGCAATCTTGTAAGCTTAATTGATAACTTGTTTACTTTCTTCTTTGGCTCTGTTACTTTCTTGTTCTTGATTTCTTCATCCTGATAAGATGAGGAATGATCAAAATCTGTTTCATTTTCAATCTTGACAGGAACCATTTTCTGAAGAATTTTTGTTCTTTCTGATTGTCAAAGAATGGAACAAGAAGAGAGAATTCTGGGTTTTGGAAGAAAGATGAAAGAAAATTTTTGAAGATGACACAAAAATCAGAAATTCCAAAGCTTCTGCTCTGCCAGTATGGTTAGTTCCTTTCTTGTCACCTTATTATTTAAATCATATTTGAATATTGGTTAAATGAGAACTCAAATGCCTTGACTTGGCTATGATTGACTCTTCCTTTTTTTGTTTAGCTTTGGATGGTAAGACAGAGAATAATGATTTAATATTTAATTGACTTTTTGAAAATGTGTTCAAGCTTTAAGCTTTAAGCTGTAAAACTGATAACGTGGGGCCTACAACATGCAAGCATGATTGATTTGTCAACATCGCTTGTAGTTGTAGGGTTGGCCCATCTGGATGACTGCAAGCTAATTACCTTTCTCATTTTCTACCAAAATGACTAGAAAAAAAAAAAAATGGAAATTGGTTATTTCTGCAAGGGAAAAATGATTTTCAGTTTTGTTGAGTTTGCAATTCTGGAAAATATCTGGTTTTTGGTTATTTGTTTGATTACTTCAAAAGCATTAACTGAAATTTTTCTTTTTTTTTTTTTCATGCCTGTTTTGATTAGTTCTAAGAATAATTTAATTTAAGTAATTTAATTTCAATAATGTAATATCATTTAATTTTTTTTTCATCCCATTCACTTTATTTTTTCGTTTGCATAGGCCGAATAATAATTATACTTTTCTTTTCTTAAAAGAAAATAATCTTTACAGTTTTCTCTTATCGCTTTATTATGCGTCTTTATCAATAAATGTATTAATATTAGTTTACAACAATTAATCTAAATCTTAGAATAAACAATTAATTAAAATCATAAGGATATATATTAGGAACATACTAAATACAACATATTAATTATATTTTTAATATAAATGAAATGAAATTAAATATATTTTTATAGGATGGAAAAAGTTTTTTCAAATATAAATTTTGAAAAATATAATAAATAAAATGAAGGAGTAATTGGAAATTAGAATAGGAAATAGGTGTAATTGAAAAGATTGTTATTTTAGAAAGGACAGTGAAATATGGACATTGACTATGTTGTGGCTGCAAATCCAATAATATTAAATAATTATAAATAAAACCGCGTAAGTGGGTCCACCAATTTTCTGGACGTCTCATTTCTGCTCCCACGCAATTGTCGGAGATCAGACGGTCGTGGACCCTTTTGCCATTCCAGATCTACACTTTTGGAGTCAATACTTCAGAAAGATCTTTTTTCCTTTGCTTTTGTGTTCTTTACCCTTTTTTTATTTTTCTTTTTATATGTTAAATTTCTTTTTTTTTTTTCAAGAATTCTCTTGAATTGTTCAAGAAGGTGTCCAAACAATAAAAAAAAAAAGCCAATAAGGTGGTCCATGCTATTTCTAATATGATAAATAATTTTAGGAAATAAGATTATAATTAAGGATAAATGAAAAAAAAAAGTGAGCATATTTCTTTTTCTTTTTTTGTACCAAAATAAGCATCTATATTACTAATTAAAATATTTCAAATTAAGTGTTTATTTTTCTATTTTAGTTAAAATTCAACAAATCAAATAGTAGTTATTTTGACACAAATAATGTCAAATTGAACTAAATTATTATTATTAGAGGGATAGAGTAATTAATATTGAACTAATTACCTAATAAATCTAGCTACTTGATTTTGTATATAATTTAAAATTAATTTTAAAATATAAAAAAATTTAAAAATAATTTTGTATTTATTAATTATGAATTATTGCCATAAATTACAAAATAAAAAAAATTATTGCGCAAAATTTTCTATATATAAATAGTGAGTTATCTAGTGTTCTCTCATGCTAAGAGAAGTGTGAAAAATAGATGAGAAAGTTGCTTATGAGGTTTTATAAGCCAACTTAAAAGAAATTGGATTTGCGGAAAATTTTGGAGATAAAATTAAATTTTGTCACATTAAAATTTTAAAAAAATTAACTAATGGTCAAAGATTAGCAAGGTGCCCAAGTTATAAATAAAACACCATCGATGGAGAGTTTAAACTAGCTCTATTGAATATTGTAAATATTAGCGATTCTTCAATTAATCAAATTAAATTAATTCGATTTTGATTTATCTGAATATATTTTTATTCTGAAATTGATTGACTCGTAAAAATAGGTTTAAATCGAATTAGATTCAGTTATTTTAAATTAAATTAATTATTTTAAATTTAAAAAGGTTAAATAAAAATAAAATATATTGCTAAAATAAAAAAAATTAAAAAAAAGAGAGACAACTCCCAGTAAACGAACAAGAAAGAAGTCTCGTTTCTGTCGCCAAAGCCGCTTTTCCCTCCTCGTGCCTTCTGTGATGTGATGTAAACAAATCGTGTTTTGTAGGACAATTAAGACAATGAAAAACAAATTATTATAAAAAAGTAATTTGGTAAAAATTTATACGTTACCCTCTTTATTTTCTAATTACTCAATTAAAAAATTTAAATAAAATATTTTGACAAGCTTGAAAAATCAAGAAAATTAAGCTACAACTAAATTCATTTATCATTTATATAAAATATTTATGTTCAAGATCAAGTTTAATTTAATATTAAATAAATTTAATAAATAGATTCAAATTATTAGATCTAGAAAATAAATTCTAATAATTATCTTTCGGAGTTAAATGTCCAGTAAATTAATTATTTTCATAAAAAAAAACATGTCTTTTAATTATTCAAAATGAAAATTTTACTTGTACAAATAAAATTGTTCCAAAAGCATTTTTTTAGCCCAAAAAAATTGAAATCCAACTATATAATACCTATAAACATCAAAAGTGGAAATTAAAAAAAAAAAAAATAGAAACTTCAAAACAACAATTGTTTCTCTTGCAAGTTGCAACAATGATAACAATAATAATATTTGTTTAAAGAAAAAAAATACATCCAGTAGATTGCACGTCACACACTAATCTACCCGCCACGTATGTGCCCATTCAAACTTTGCGTCACTGTATCGCTATCTTTATCTCTTTCACGTTTCCCAATATTTTCCCTCTCTTCTCTCCTTATAGTAAAGCCTATCAACCAGTCCCCATCTGTCTCTCTCACTCTATAAAGCCACGTTTTTTCTTCTTTTCCCGGGATTATCCTATCTGGGTTTCTCGGGTTTCTTTTTGAATTCCAATTCCTGAGTTCGTTGCCCTTTTTCTGTTTTTCTGTTTGTTTACGTTATGAATACCCATTTGGTATTTGTATTAATTAAATAGCTGGTATATGTTATTTGTGCTTTTTAGGTTTGAGGGTTTTGGGGTTTGGTTAATCAGCAAGATCTGTTAAGAAAGAAAGGAAGGTGAGAGTTGAGAGGACAGACCCATTTGGCTGCTTTTCTTGGAATTTCAATATTTAAGGTTGGCTTTCTGCTGAATTCGGTTAAGAGGCTGGATTTTGTGACTTCTATACATCCCTTTGGTGTATAAATTAAGTTTTCTTATAGGATTGCTATCTATCCACTTTTATCTAACAAAAGCCATTATCTTTCTTTTGCATAGAGAGTCTGGTGGTGTAATATTTCAATCATTTTGTGATTGGAGAAACAATTTCAGTCATTTTATTGTCTTTATGCAATTGTTAGAGCTGTGCAGAACATATAGGTGTATATAGTCAAAACATTGCCTTGTAATTCCTTCAATTGCTGTCTCCTAGCAATTGTTATTGCTTCTTAAGTTTTATATTAGCAAATATTCTTGTTGAGTTACAGGAATTCCCAATAGCTTCGATTTAGCAAATCATCCAAAACACGAAACTTTTAGAGATGGATATAAGTAATGAGGCCAATGTTGATCCCTTTCCAATTGGACCTTCATCAATTATTGGTAGAACTATTGCTTTTAGAGTGTTATTCTGCAAGTCAATGGGACAATTGAGGCGTAGAATCTATCATTTTTTATTGAATTACATTTGTAGACTTAGGGATTTTTCTGCTTCAATGGTATCATGGTTGCATCCGCGGAATCCACAAGGAATACTGGCAATGGTGACAATAATTGCTTTTCTATTGAAAAGGTACACAAACGTGAAATCGAGGGCTGAGATGGCATATCGGAGGAAATTTTGGAGGAATATGATGAGAACTGCATTGACATATGAAGAGTGGGCACATGCTGCTAAGATGCTTGATAAAGAGACACCAAAGATGAACGAATCGGACCTTTATGATGAAGAATTAGTGAGAAATAAGCTTCAGGAGCTTCGACACCGTAGACAAGAGGGATCTCTTAGAGATATTATCTTTTGTATGAGAGCTGATCTTATAAGAAATCTTGGTAATATGTGCAACCCAGAGCTTCACAAGGGCAGGCTTCAAGTGCCTAAGCTTATTAAGGAATACATTGATGAGGTCTCAACCCAGTTGAGAATGGTTTGTGACTCAGATACAGAGGAGCTTTCATTGGAGGAAAAGCTTTCTTTCATGCATGAAACGAGACATGCATTTGGGAGAACAGCTTTGCTTTTGAGTGGAGGTGCTTCCCTCGGAGCCTTTCATGTAGGTGTGGTTAAGACGCTGGTGCAGCATAAGCTTTTGCCCAGAATAATTGCTGGTTCTAGTGTAGGATCCATTATGTGTTCTATTGTCGCCACGAGAGCATGGCCAGAGTTGCAAAGTTTTTTTGAAGATTCTTTGCATTCATTGCAGTTTTTTGATCAAATGGGCGGGCTTTTTACTGTAGTCAAGAGGGTCACGACACAAGGTGCTGTCCATGAAATACGGCAGTTGCAATGGATGTTAAGGCATCTCACAAGCAATCTTACATTTCAGGAAGCTTATGATATGACAGGTCGAATTCTTGCAATCACAGTTTGCTCTCCAAGGAAGCATGAGCCTCCTAGATGCCTTAACTACCTGACTTCACCTCATGTTGTCATATGGAGTGCAGTCACTGCTTCTTGTGCCTTTCCTGGTCTTTTTGAAGCCCAGGAACTTATGGCTAAGGATAGAAGTGGAGAAATTGTTCCATATCATCCACCCTTCAAGCTGGAACCAGAGGAAGGGTCAAGCACGTCTGCTCGTCGGTGGAGGGATGGAAGCTTGGAGATTGATTTACCTATGATGCAATTGAAGGAGCTATTCAATGTTAATCATTTTATTGTGAGTCAAGCAAATCCTCACATTGCTCCATTATTGAGAATGAAGGAGTTTATAAGAGCTTATGGCGGTAACTTTGCTGCAAAGGTATGTATATATTGCTTCTAATTTACACAAATCCTTAACTTATCTCATTTTTAATTTGCATTTATCCCTGCTTTGTCATACTTCTGCTGTGTGCCCTAATTCTTCTGAAGATGCCTCTGTCTGAATTTTCCACTTTCTCATTACTTTACTATGAAATTGCCTCTTTTGAGTTTCCCTTGCCTTGCTAGTGCATTTGATTATTTTGCACATTATTCGAACAGTGACTCGTGTATTTTATGCCAGCTCATGGTTTGGTTCTTGTTCACCAATATTTGTTTTGCGTTTTCATCATTTTTTATCTTTTTTATGATTTCTAGATTTTTCTTATACAGATGTGAAAACCCATGATCGCCAACCCTTAATCAATAATGAAAAGGGTCAAAACTAGTATAAGATATTGTTATTATTTTATTCAGGTAGCAGCAACCAGTTCTTATGCATTACAAAATTGCACTTTTTTCTAATCTGGTATAGGACAAATTCATAGCATGAGACTGCTTGTGCATAATCTATTTAATTTGTGGCGGCATTACTTGGCATAAGGCCTGTTTTATGCAACCAATGTAATATAAGCTTATTGGCAAATTTTGTTAGGTCTGGAATTCTTTTCTTTTTCCCTGTAATAGGTAGGTTTCGAATCCTAGTTAAGGAGTCAATAGATGAAATTTAAGGAAGAATGACTGAGGTTTTCTTGGTTGGTCTTTGGGAGAAAAGGAGTGCTGTTTGGTTGTGGAGAAATGCGTCCTGATTGTGGGAACTATCTGGCTGAACCATAAATGAGTTCTTTGAGTGTTTATTTTGATGATTCAAATGATGAAACGGGTGAAAAAATATGTATGGCATTTACGTTACAGATTATTAAGAACATTTATCTGCTTAGCTATTCAAATTTAAATTAAATCAGGCATGTTAATTGAATTGAAGAAATTATAGATGAATCTACCATTCTCTCCTTGAATAATGGAAATCTTTCAATTTAGTGATTTTCCAAGAATAAAAATACAATTGCTAAGCGACTTCTTGTTAGAATGAGGCTAATTTTCCTGATTACATAAAACTAATACCTTTTGGTGTTTAACTTTGTAGCTTGCTCATCTCACCGAGATGGAAGTAAAACATAGATGCAGTCAGGTGTTGGAACTTGGTTTTCCATTAGGTGGAGTTGCCAAGCTTTTTGCTCAAGATTGGGAGGGAGACGTCACTGTTGTTATGCCTGCTACACTCGCTCAGGTATTACAAAATATGAAGCTTTATACTATAGTTGGGCTGAAATTTTGTTTATGGTTTAGGGATGATAAAAAATTGGAAAGCGTATGTATTTGTTAAGCATTAGCAGCTAAATTTAGGACTTCTATTAGTTACCCTTGTTTTGATAATGGGCTTAAATTGTTGCTTCTGTTAATTGTCTTCACGTTGTTTCTTGCTGATCATTTGCGACATTTGTGCAGAATTCTACATGAGACTTGAATGAAAATTTTTGCTATATTGAGTAGCTAGTAGTTTAAATTTTCACCATTTGTTTGCGGTGCAGTACTCAAAAATTATACAAAATCCGACTCTTGTGGAGCTGCAAAAGGCGGCCAACCAAGGGAGAAGGTGTACATGGGAGAAACTTTCAGCCATAAAAGCCAACTGCGGGATTGAGCTTTGTCTTGATGAATGTGTCGCAATTCTCAACCACATGCGTAGACTCAAAAGGAGTGCTGAGAGAGCAGCTGCTGCTTCGCATGGCATACCTAACCCAAGTACTAGTAATGTCAAATTCAGTGCTTCTAGAAGAATCCCTTCTTGGAACTGCATTGCTAGAGAGAACTCAACAGGGTCAATTGATGAGCTTCTGACTGATGTTGCTTCCACATTTCATCAAGGTGTTGGTGGATCTGGAGCAACTACAGGTAGAAATTTGCGGACTCACCGCAACATACATGATGGAAGCGACAGCGAATCTGAAAATGTAGATATAACTTCTTGGACAAGGTCTGGTGGGCCATTGATGAGGACAACTTCAGCAAATAAATTTATTGACTTCGTTCAAAATCTTGATATTGATGCCGAATTGACCAAAGGCTTGTTGACTCATCCTAACTCTCCGGGGGCTCCTATGGGAATTAGGGATCCATTTAATACAAGTTCTCGGGTGACAACACCTGAGAGAATTTCGGAAAGTGATTTTGAACTGAGGGATTTTAGCAGATCATCTCAGACTGGTTCTAGTATTATGGTTACTGAAGGCGATCTTTTGCAGCCAGAAAGAATCCATAATGGGATTGTGTTGAACGTCGTAAAGAAGGAAAACTTGGGACTCTCAAATAGAAGCCAGGATTCAGAAAATTACAATGAAATTCCTGAATGTGTTCAGCTTGATAGGGATATGGATGGTAGCTCAGCATCTGAATATGCTGGGGATGACGATGATGACGACAATGACAATGACAATGACATCATTACTGTAACAAACTTCTCAAATGTGGTATCTCCCATTCCTGTTCCCAAGGATGATTCTGGGGTACATGAGGGACAGGATCAAAGTTCTGTGGATGGTTAGTTTTGAGGAATATTTCTGTTGTGTGAACAATTTGGTCTATCTGATTCCCGGATCACCTTAATATCAAGTGCCACTAGCTGCAGAAAGAGCAGAGAAAAGCAATTATTGCTTGAACATCCCCATTTCACGTCGTTTTCAAGAGATAATGGTCAGGGACAGCAGAGAATAATCAATCATTTGTTAGATAGAAGATTTGTATATGAAACCGGAGAGAAAAGCTCAACATTTTTAGAAGAATGATCGCATTTGAGATCAAATTGTCTTGAATATGCCAAATTATTTATTGTGTAAAATGTATTGTACATACCACGCAATGTGCAATGTGATTTTCATACATACAGTTCAATGAAAGAAACAGATTTTACATCATTCTCTGTCTCTCTCTCTCTCTATCGAGCGATTTCTATTTCTCAATGATATCCCACAATCAAGACAATGAGACCCATGAAACCATTTTATAGAAGTTCATTGATATCTTCTCTTTATAAAACAAATCGATGATATCTTCTTTTTATAAAACAAATCGACCTCCACCCTCAACCCCAGTGCTACATGTTTCCAGGTCTCACAATTATAATGAGACGAGGAGTGCTGCTAAGGTTGACATGCGATCAATGCATCTGCTCTAGTAGTCTGAATAGATGGAAACTTGAGTCCTCTTGCAAGTCATACAGATAGGAATACCAAGTGGATTATGTGGGTTCGAGGGAGATTCCACTGCTAGGCTATGTCTAGGAGTGTATTGTTGTGCTTGAGCCTGACAGGGTTAAAGCTAGGATTTAGAAAGAACTTGCAATCGGTCAAACTTAAAAATACCATATTCTCAGATGATAGCAGAACTTGCATTTTGCTGATATTTTGAATGCCAATTTGTATGTTGCATTAGCACAATCTTTCGTTGCTGTTGCATGAACATTAAACCAAGTTGTACTGTACATTAAAACCTGCAATACACAAAATATAAATCATATTGCATGTCAGCTAAAGAGGTCAAAGGAGAAGATTTAAGCTTTGCTGTGCATGGACCGCTTGCAACTTGTATATCATATTAAATTTATCTGAAAAATTAAAAAAAAAAAAATGGAATTTATAATGCGGACCTAACCCAAGTCTCTGTGACTTTTGTTGAACCAAAAAAGGTTAGGAATAGGATTAAAGTAGCAAAGCTTGGAGTCCATAAAGGAGTCTAAGCATTTGTTCTCATCATTTCTCAATCATTTTTTGGTAATACAACAGGCAAGGGTTTTGATTATGCTAAAAAAAAATAAAAAATAAAGAATATTATTGAAAAATTCTAATAGTTTATAATACTTCTTTTACAAAATCAAATTAAGTTATACAGTGATAATATCTACAAATTTCAAAATTTTTAACATATGATAAAAAAATTGAATTGTGTAGACAATTCAAACTTGAAATATCACAATGAATTATAGTCTTGAAAAAAAAAAAAAACAAGAGTTTAGAATATCTCTAATCTTTAAAAACAAAAAAAATGGTAATCTCTTCAAACCATATAATATAAAAATTTTTTATTCTTCAGTAAATATATCGCAATCGAACTTATATTTTTGTCCTTATAGAACCACGGCGGATTAATATTTCAGTCTATGTATAATAAAAAGCAAGATGTGTATCTGCCAGTGGACTCCCAATTTCAAAAGGCTAACATCATGTTGTCTAGTGGTGAAAATTCCTTCCTGCTATTTCCAAGCAATTTCATGGAAGAACTAATAATGGTTTCTTCCTTGTCTTTGTTTGTTTTAACCTTTTCTTTCCTTTTCTTTTCTTTTCTTTTCCTCTCTTTTACTTTTTGCGTAGGATTATTTCTTTGTTCATCATGTCAAGCCGACCAAATAAAATTTAATAAATAAATAAATAAACAAAAATCATTTGTATGCACCCATTGAGAAATATGGCATGAAATAGACATCCTTGCCAACCACAAACGGTTCCACCTTTTCACATGTAAAATTCATCTGAAACATGTTGAATGCTTTTTCAAGTTCTCCCTGTTCTAGAATATAAGTTGTTTAAAATTTTTATACAGAGATTAAAAAAAGTAATTAATTTCCCTTAAATTATAACAAAATTAAGGATAATTTGATAAAATTATCCCTTTATCTTGAACCAATAGTTATTTGTAAAGGTAGTGATTATATTTAATGCAAATAATGGTAATATTAGAAAATCATCATTTATTACTCCTTGCAATACTCAAAACGACTTTTATTTTATGACAAAATAAACACCCAGAAATGATTTATATTTTGAAACAGAAGAAGTATTAAACAGATTAACTATCGAAACCTGGGATAAGATGATAATGATTTCTTCTCTTTTAAGCAGATGTCTCCAATTTGCATTATGGAGTTAGAATAACTTCAAAACTTTATAGGGATAGTTTTAAAACTCCAATAGAGTTTCTACTCCTTTATTGGTTCGATTCATATTGAAATCGGATCAGAAAAATCCAATTGAAATTATTAGACTGAAATTAAAAATATTAAATTAAAATTAGGAAGAATCAATCGTATTATATTTGTGTTTTATTAACCTTATAAAAATAATTACTCATAAAATTTTATTTTTACTATGTTTTTATTCAAATTAATATTTTTTGATCATTTTATTTATAATTTAAAAAATAATAAATTTCTATTAAATACTATTTTAAAGATTTAGTTTGTATTATTTATGTATATACACATCATAGTATATAAAAACATGTATACTTTAATGGTAATTTTACATTTTAACAATATGCCATCAAAATTTATCAAATATTAGCATTTATTAGCTAATTATTATCATCAATCAATTATCAAAATAATTAAACTAAACATGATCTTTAATTCTTCTAAATAGAAATCTTAGAGATTAATTTTAATTTTGATTCAAAACCTTAAGAGGTGTAAATGTAACAATCTCCTTTCTTGTTTGGATTTGTTTTTACTATTTAGGCTATATGATATTTTCTTCAATTGTTTTTATTTTTTTTCTTATCTCGGGAAAAAGACTTCAAGCTGATGTATAGTTTATCGGATTTTTCACTTAATATGTCCGAACTAGAATGGATATATTGAGGAAGTCTGATGGCTCGGATTTAGATGCTTGGTTATATTATGTTTTTTCCAAATTTTAATAAAAAAAGAAATTTTTGCTCATAAAAAAAAGAAAAAAATTAAAATTACTAAAGCATCATTTTATTAAAACCGGTTCAATGAACCGTGTTGCCTGCTTTTTGGCAGCTGTATTTTAGGATTGTGTATTTAGAGATGAAGTGAATATGCAGCTGTATATTCCCATTTTTGTTCCTTTCCATGTGTAAATATCTTTAGTTGGCAATTCTTTGGCGCAATTTTCCGGAATAGGCGTTACTTCCTTCAATCATTACATCATTAACATATTTATATTTAATTAGGACGGTTCGATATGTTGTTATTCCATTCGTCCTAAAAATTAATTAATTTATTTCAATTATCGAATAATTAATATTATTTGAATAATTAATTTTTATCTCTATTTTTTTAATATATTCGTATTATCAATTAAGTATCAAATGAAATAATTAATAATAATATTTTCTCTGTTTCATAATACTTATCACATTAATTTATTTCAAAATACTTATCACATCTGCGGTTTCAACGAGTAATAAATATTTTGGAGTCAAATTATAAGCAAGGATTTAATAGCGTTTCAGAGACAAATTATAGTAAATAAAATCGACAAAATATTTTGTTAAACTAACTCATTAATCCTCGTGTAAATTCAGTTTTCTCTGTATAAACAAAAGAAAATGAGTATTAACTTGAATTTTTAAACTAAGTAAACAAATTATTGAAATGTGACCAAAAAACAATTCAATAGTTAAATGCTTCTTCCTCTTTTAAGCTAATGGCTGTTGTTAATTTTTATGGCCGATCCATAAAAATAATTTTCTGTGTTTGTTGTACCTAGAACATCTGCTTCATTGCCAATGATTAATCATTGGCTACCCAACTCAATATATTATTACTCACTCCTTCTACTTTAATAATAATATTTAATTTTTTTTATAAAAATTAAAAAAATAATTAAAATATATTATTTTTCTACAAATATATAATAAAATATCTCAAAGTGAAATTTAAATAGAGGCCAGTTTTTTTTTTTTTTTTTTTTATATATTACTCACTTCTTCTACTTTAATAATAATATTTTAATTTTTTTTTATAAAAATTAAAAAATAATTAAATATATTATTTTCTACAAATATATAATTTAAGATATCTCCAAAGTTGAAATTAATAGAGGCCAGTTTTTTTTTTTTTTTTTTTTTGGTTTTTATTTACTTCAACAAGTTGCTTCTTGGACTACTTATTTTTTTTTTTTTTTTTTTTTTTGGTTTTTATTACTACAACAAGTGCTCTTGACTACTTATTTTTTCACCGTTAACTCTCTTAATTGATTGATGTTGACTTGTCAACTTCAATATTGCTGGAATAATAAATATGAGTAAATTTTACGGTTGAAAAATATGAAAGAAGTAAGAAATATTTAATTAAAAAAGACCCATTAATTTATTTATTTAAAAATTTTAAATTAAGATGTAATGTCAATACCGTGGACGTGTTTCTTCAAATTATAAATCCATTTTCTGCAAATATTTTATTTGATAATTACAAATATTGCAAAAGGTTTAAATTAAATTTATGTTTGTAAATGTATGTTCATGTGTTTCTTAATTTTTAGCTTAAAAAAAATATTACTCTTTTCCTTGTGGATTTATATTCTCTCAGTAGTAAATAGAAACAATGTTGTCAATTAACATAATTATCATGTTATTAGGTTGAAATCTTGTTAATTGTTATCAATTTAAAAAATATATATCAGAATAGAATTTGTCAAAAAAATATTTATAAAATTAAAAAAATCAATAAAAATAATTAAGCATTGATCCTAAATCAAAGAGGGTTAGTTACACGAGCCATTTGTTTCATTCAATTGTAATTATAATTTAAATCCGAGTTAATATTAAGAATTAGTACTGAATATCTTGAAATAATTTCTCTCCATGTAGTAGTTTTAGGTATACTAATCTTTATCCCTCTTCATCATTAATGTAATATATTTAGTTATAAGATAAAACAAGTCTATTTGGGGCGTGATTAAACTATAAAAATGAAAAAAAAAAAAAGATAATTAAAAAGAAAAAGACTTGGAATTGAATAATCGAATCCAAAACTCCGTTAAGGAGATTCCGAAAACCAAGCAGGTAACAAGGCAACGACTCAACGGTCAGAGCGGGTTTCAGAGAAATCACTTTTCCACTTGAAAAAGAAGTTTTATATTTCCCCTCTAGACTGGTTTTATTTTTAAATTTTAATTTTTTTTAAGGTAAAAAAATTTAATTATTAAATTTTTCGATTTTATTTTTTTATATTTTACGGTATGTCCATTTTATTAAATAATATTTACTAAATCAGTGATACGTAATTTTTATGCAGAAAATTATTTTTATAGCAGAAAATTCTTCTGTTTGAGTTGAACAATAGAATAGCTTTCCTATTAATTATAAATATATAATTATAAATATTGCTTGTCTACTTGCTTTTATTTTGATAATAATTCAACCTTGCAAACCTAAAGTCAATATTCTACGCTATAATTTATTTATTTGATAGGCCAATTTCAAATTAAAAATTCAATCGCTTGAGTTTTCATTTGATTGAGTTCAAATTTGTAACAACTTGTTAAAATTTAATTACCCTGTCTTTTAAGTAATTAAAAATCCTCTTCTTTTTAAAAAAAATTTATCTAAAACAAAATTATTTTACATTTAGTAAAGCTAATATTAATTTGTTAGAAATAGTCCAATTCGAGTTGGATTTTTTAATTTGATTGAGATCAAATTGGATAAAGTTGGAGTATTAGTATAATATTTGATTTAAGTTATTCGTAAATTAATTATTGTATTTTTAAAATCTAAGGTGGGATAAAGCTAATCCCGCTATCCTCGGCAGGATTTACAATTACCGGTCCACTTTAAGACCAACGGACATTTTCATATATCCATTAATCGGGTAATTAACTAATTATCATTCCAATGGCAAGTTTCGTAATTTGTGAATTTAGTAAACCGAATAAACATCGTCCGATTAACGCATCCTAAAATCCAAGGAACCAAAACTGATCATAAAACAGACCAGCCAAACATACAATCATATCTTCCACTCACCAAAAATCAATCAGTGATTCCCACATATAAATAACTCAAAGGCGCATATCGCTGCAAGGAAGCTTCCTGGAAATTGCCATGGAACCAAGTTCTGCTCTCCCACTCCTTTTAAGCCTCTCACCTTCGTCTCTATTTCCCCTCAACCCCTCCATTTCTTCTTTCACATTCTCTGTAGTTTCTCATTCTCTCCATTTTCCGCCATGAAACAGTTCATCAAAGCTATTAGCCCTAAACGCCTCTTAGGATCCAAAAAGGATCGATCTATTGTTTCCAAATCCGACCCCTCGTCTTATAGTTATGGTGCTTCGTCATCCTCCTCCTCCGATTCCTCCGTTTCCAATCAAAAACGCGGTGTAACCGCTGAGGCCGGTACTCCGACCAGTGTTCTCCCTGAAATATCGGGTGACTGGTCTGATATTTCGACTGATTTTTATTCCGATTTGGTTCAGGCTTTTAAGCTGATTGATAGAGATAATGATGGAATTGTCTCCAGGAGGGAGTTAGAAGCTCTGTTAAGCCGACTTGGAGCTGAGCCGCCGAGTCAGGAAGAGGTGGCGACGATGTTAAGTGAGGTGGATCATGTCGGTGATGGTTGTATAAGCGTGGAGGCTTTGATGAACCGGATCGGCTCGGCTTGTGAACCGGCTGGAGATGACGAGCTAAGGGTGGCTTTTGAGTTTTTTGACGCAGATCAAGATGGAAAAATAACAGCAGAAGAGCTTTTTGGAGTTTACAAAGCTATTGGAGACGAGCGTTGCACCTTCGAGGATTGCATGCGCATGATAGCAAGTGTGGATAAGAATGGAGATGGATTCGTATGCTTCGAGGATTTTTGTCGTATGATGGAACTGCAAAGATGATCATGATTTTTGTAATAAGATCATGTGATGGTGGTGCTCTTGAAGAAATCAAATGTCTTAATTATTTTTTTTTTCTTGTTTTTTAAAAGTGTTTGATCTAAGGTGGATGATTAGATGAGAGAGATGATGAGATGTTATAGAAAATATCAGGAACGACCTGATTGGTTTTATCTCAGCTTGCAAAGTTTGCCTCTCTCAGCCGTATATATTATTATTATATATAATATATAATATGTTAGATTTCTTGATGACAAATATTTTATTTTCTTGTTTTTTTTTTTTTTTTAAATATTTTATTTTTTTCTTGTTTTTTTTTTTTTTCTTTTTTCTCTACTGGGCCACTTGCAATTTTTTTTTTTTTTTTCTTTTTCTCTACTAGGGCACTTGCAATTGATAATGCCCTTTTAATTGAATAATGATGACATTTTTTATTTATATAAAAATTTGTTTGAAGTATTCTTTAATCAAGTGAGCAATTCAACTAAAAGTAGGTTTGCTTGTATTTTTTTTGCATTTTTGGTCGGAGCAACATTATATACTAAGACGACTAAATAAGAAAGAAATATGGAAGAAAAAATAGAACTAAGTTAATTTTCTTAATTTTGTTTCTCCCAGCATTTTTAAAAAATCTCTTAATATATTTTTATACATTATTAAAAAATCTTAAGTCTCGAACAGGATTAGGCTTCTGATAAGAATTCGGATGCGACAATCTGTCCAGATACAGGTGGTTTACTTCTCTAGATATGGGTGGTTTATAAAAATTATTAAAAGATCTTAAGTTTCGAGGTGAATTAGACAATTCCTAATACTGAGTTCAGGTTTACAAAATTTAAAACAAATGGTGATGGTGTAACTAATACTTTGGATTACAATAATAAAAGTAAGACTATTAGTGATAAGTTAGAAGGAGAAATGAGGGGCGAAGTGATATTTTTGTTTTTCCACTTTTGCTTCTGAGACAGGCTATGTCATAATATGAGACAGACAGGCTTGAACTGGAAGGAGGAAAGGAAAAACTTTTGTTGCGTGTCTTCTACTTTGAACGATGGTGTGTTTTGCCTACTTTGACAAGAAGTTTCTGTGATTGTGCATTTGCCCTCGAGAGCCTAATTTACTTACCTCATCGATGACTTTGAAATAATAGAGTAATTTTTCTACTCTCTTGTGTTTGTAGGAGCGAGCGAAATAAATTTTCAGATTCATGTTTGTTTTAACGTTTCATAATAAATTTGATTAATTTATGTTTATTTTTAGAGAAAAAGGATTATAAATTAAGCTATAATGATCAACTCTGTAAGTACTGTTTATCAATAAAACACCCATTCGGATTATTTAGTTCAATATAGTTCAAAGCACTACCGACTTTAAAGATTAGCAAATAAAAATATTATAAAAATTGAGATGTAGCGTTTTTTTCTCGGATTTATACATGAAAAGAAATATTTGGAAAGAAAGACTCGGTCTCGTGGGTGGATCCAGAAGCCTTGACGAGTGTTAGAACGGCTAAATGGAAAATTGTCATTACATAAAAATTAGAATTATAAATATTTATTGAATTAGTTTACGTACATTAATATATTTTAATTTAATTTTTTTTTTCAGGCAAGATTTCTAACAATGTGGTGGGGTGCATAAAAAAACAATAAAGATTCTCATCTTGTTCCGTTGCTATTATTATAATCTGCTGTTTATATTCTAAATTAATTATTGGATAATTAATTAGTCAAATGAATATGGATGAGAATGTCCAAGAAAATATTGGTTTTGTGTAATGCAGAAGGCATATACTCTGACAAAAGTCTATTAAAAAATTATATGTGGTTGAGATTTTAAAAATATTTATTTTTATTTTTTTATAAGGGAAAAAATCATTTTCCAAAAAAAAAAAGTAAGGAAAAAAAAATTTCATCTTTAAATTTCACTTTCTTGGCACTCTCATTTGAGAATAATTTCTAATTTTTATTGGAAGGACCAATCAACTTAAAAGATTTGCGACAGATAAAATTAGATTCGTCGTCCTCTTAAACGTTATTTCACGTCAAATTTGAGGGATGAATAATGAAATATTATTCTCTTTAATATTTAATGAAATATTAATTAAACGGCTATTAAAATAATTAATAATTAATTTTATTGAACATACACTAAATTCATTAATTTAATAATCAATTGTATGTAGAGATACATAAATGGATGGTTTGATTTTGAATTGAACCGAACCATAAAAATTAAAATTAGTTTTTATATCAAAATCAAACTGCATAAAGTAAGTTCGAAATGAGATAGAACCAATTGGTTCGATTTTATTAAAAAAAAAATTGTTTTATAATGATTGATTTAAAGACTAAAAATCAAAGTTAAAAAAATTAAATAACCGAATAACTGAAAAAAGCCGAAAATAATTCAATTTGATTTGGTTTTCTATGTTTTTCAAAATTTGGTCAGCCCTTGGAGGATTAGTCAAGGTGATACAAATATTTCTAAGAATATATCATTTGCATACCCAATCACAAAATCCCAATTTTTAATTTATTATTGGTAATATTTTCATAATCATCTTAGATAGTAGAATGAATTTAGGTTAGTTGGAACATAGACTTTCCAAGATCACAGAAGTCATGGAAAATGGGCGGTTTGGCATCAAGCAAGGGAAGTGAACATGCACACCACTATCCAACAATTTAACAATCACTTTCTTCTTTCTTTATTTGTTTTTTCTTACTTTTTTTTTTGAAAATGATGTTTTTTTTTCTTATTAATTATTATTGTTAGGGAATAAAAATATAAATTAGCATATTTTATTTTTATGTTGAAATGGGAAATAAATGATTTTTAATTTTTTAATCTTGACTCCTCCATTTGGCAGGTTTTCCAGTTTCCAGGAAACTTCCTTTGACAACGGCAACATTGTGGGTGTTCTGTGCTTACTATGCATGTAGGTGTTGTTTTCCATTAGGACAAGTTGATTGATTGAGACTTCAACTTCTGGTATTTTCCTTCACATTTATCGTACCATGTTGGGAAATTCCATTGAGGTTTTTTTTTTTTTCCTCAACTACCTTTTATTTGAGTCATTTTCTTAATATTTTTGTTTATAACATTTATTTTATTATTTTTATATTCATTTAAAAATTCTATCTATTTTGATAGACTCTCTTAATTAAATTAAAGAAAATGATATAGACATTATTAAGGCTTCAAACATAATAATTTCAGTATTTATTTCATGAGGTTTCATCTAATTAACAAAATTGTTTGCCTTCTTTAAAAATGAATCACATACCGTAGAACTAACTCAGCTGAAAATTTATTTTACCAGTATATAAATTGATATTGAGTAATTTTTATATTATAAATTAAAGTTTAGAAACGATAAGATGCAGTTGTGTTAATTTAATATGAAAATTAGTTTTTAACTCGAAGTTAGCACAATTACTAGTTGTATAGAAAATAGTTGTACGAGTAAAAAGAAAAGGATAATCTTTCAAAGCTATTGAAATGATAAGCTTTATCTCCCTCTAAATTTGCAGAGTACGAAGAGCCTCTTTTGAGAAATTTAAAGAAATAATTTAAAAGAAAATAAAAAACTAAAGTAGGCTAAGAAAATAAGTTCATCAAACTTCAATGGAAATGAAATAGTTATACGGGAAGTAGTTTAGGTTAAAAGCCAAACTGCAATTGAATATCTAAAACTGAAGTCTTAGAATTTGTATCCTCTTGTTTCCTTACATTGGGTACAACTCTGCTTCTCTCTACACTTCTTATTGTAAGAAAAAGGTCAGATTCTTTTAATTTTATATGTTAAGAAAAAGGTCAATGGAGTTTTTTTTTTTATTTATTATTATTATTTTTTTTTAATTTTAATATTTGAAAATAATGTGCAATCAAATAATATTTTGTCCTCTCAGTTGATGATAAGGTAAAAAACGGATTCAATTTAGTCTTAATAAGCATTCCGTTAAATGTAGTCACTTTCAGAGATTCGGATTGTAAAGTTTTTTTGTTCAAGCGCCAAAATATGAAAAGTTCAGGCACCAAATATAATTCATCATAATAAATAAAATTTTTCTGCTTTTACCGCAAATCAATTTATTATTCACAATACACACGCAGATATATATATATGTACAGTTTCTGCTTGGATCACCGATGAAGCAAAACAATACAAACCAAAAAATTCCCTCCTCTTTCCATCACCAATCCATTTCTGCGTTTCAATGCTTAACATCCTCAAAAGAAATACCCTTCTCGACCCCAAATCTTCAAATCCAGTATTCTTTTCATCAAAACTCTTATACTCAACACTATCCTTAAACCCTAATCACCAAAATCCTAAAACCCCTACTCCAAACCCCATAACCAGATCACAACTCAAAGATTTAGTGCTCAGTCAATACTCCCATGGCAAATTCTCCAATCTCATCCAAAATGTCGTCGCTTTGCCCTCTGTTCTCCTCTCTGCCTCTGAAAACCTCGTCCCCGGTAGCATTAATGCCGCCACTTCACCTGAGTCAGTTGGGTTCACCACTCATTCTCTTTACTACTCAGTATCCAAGCATTTGTCAATTGAAGAAATGGGTCACGATATATTTTATAACCGCTTCGATATTGAGTCTAACTGCGTTAAAATGGAAGGGAAAGGTGAGTTCTTGGTTTTGCCCAATTTGAAACTGAAAGTTCTTATTGAAGCTATTAGGGTAGTGTTAGAAATTATATATGATGATCGGTTTATTACTTTTTCTTATGGTGGACGTGTCAATATGGGGCGGCACACAGCTATCAGATATCTTAAGAACTCGGTTAAAAACCCAAGTTGGTGGTTTAATGTTTGCTTTAATCATTTCAAGTTTGATCAAAGGAATTTAGATAAGTTATGTTTGTTTATAGAAGAGAAGATAAAGGATAGGATTTTGATTGATGTGATAAAAAGGTTATTTCATTGTGGAGTTTTGAGAATTGAATTTGGTGGGTTTTATTTGGGAAGGGGATTTCCTCAAGAATGTGGATTGTGTTCAATTTTGATTAATATTTATTTTAATGGGTTTGATAGAGAAATTCAAGAAATGAGACTAAGAATTAGTGAACAGAATCCCAAATTTGAACCAAAAGAGGTTAGTGAGAGGTCTATTTCCTTTTATAAGCCGGTGAATGTATATGCAGTTAGGTACTTGGATGAGATATTAATAATTACTTCTGGCTCCAAGATGATGACCATGGATTTGAAGAATAAAGTTTTGAGTTTTTTGGAGGAGAAGTTGGAATTGAACGTTGATAAAACCAATACAGCTATCCACAGTGCAGTTTCAGAGAAGATTGATTTCTTAGGGATGGAATTGCAGGCTGTCCCACCTTCAGTATTGCACCCCCCTATGTCAGAAAAGGCAATCCGAGCAAGAAAGAAATATCTTAAACAGAAGGAAGTTAGGTCTTTGGAATTGAGAAATGCTCGAGAAAGGAATAGAAAAAAATTGGGTTTGAAAATATTGAGTAACGTATTTAAGAAGTTGAAGCAGAGTAATGGGTTCAAATTTGACTTTCAAATTGAGAATGAAGTGCGAGAAATTTTTGCAACTTGGGCAGATGAAGTGGTTCAAGAGTTTTTGGAGTCCTTGGAAGAGCGTTGGAACTGGCATCGTATGCTCACTGCTGGTGAGTTCCTCTCTTTGAGGCATATTAGAGATCAATTGCCACAAGATCTTGTTAATGCTTATGATAAGTTCCAGGAGCAGGTGGACAAGCATTTATCACCAGTGAAGGTTAGAAAAGCATTGGAGGAGGAAGAAAGGAGAGTCGAAGAAGATGAGGAAAGAAAGTATGCTGAGAGAACAGTTGAGGATCTGACAAAACTATGCATGAAAGTCTCTGCCCCTATAGAACTTGTAAGGAAAGCTGTGAAGATGAATGGGTTTACAAACAATATGGGCCGTCCGAGACCAATCCACTTTCTTACTGTTCTTGAAGATGCTGATATTATAAAATGGTACTCAGGGGTTGGAAGAAGATGGCTTGATTTCTTTTGCTGCTGTCACAACTTTAAGATGGTAAAAACTGTTGTAAATTATCACCTACGGTTCTCTTGTATTTTGACACTTGCAGAAAAGCATGAAGCAACAAAACTTGAGGCCATTAAGCATTACACTAAAAACTTGAAAGTCACTGATGTGGATGGAAATGAAGAAGTGCACTTTCCCACTGAAAAGGAGGTAAAGATGATGGGAGATAAAAATCTTTCTGATCCAAAACCTGTAGATGGTGCTTTATCTTTGGCATTGATCAGATTGGCTCATGATGAACCATCTGGTTCCTGCATTGCTCATTTTTGTGACAGAACTGATACTATCATGTATCGAGTTAGGTTAATGCAAAATCTTTTAAATATGAGCCCAATGAAAGGAGAGAGATGGGTTCCAGGGATGAGTGCAATTCATGAATGCATAGACCGAGTATGCCTTCCATTGTGTTCTGACCACATAAGTGACTTATATACTGGGAAAATTACTCTTCAGGACATTGATTGCACTTCATTTGTGGATGTTGACTGATTATTGCTTGTATTCCATAAGTTACTGACATGATAGGTAGTAGTTTTTTAAGTTAAGAAAGATGGGCTGATTTATACAGGTTCAAGTGAAGACAATACCATACTGCAGTTTTGCTATGTTATGCAATTCCTGAGCCTATAATGCGTAAATGCAATGTAAATGATTGTTTTATTCAGCAAGCAATCCTCATGTACAGTCACTATTGGGAATATGAGGAGCAAACCATGTGAACTGGTTTAAACCTGATGATCAATCAAACTCCTTATTGAAGGCATTTCTTCAAAGCAAAGAGCGAGACTACGACCTAAAAGCAGTAATGCTCTTTCCTGATTCTAACATTTTTCATTTTTAGCATTCGTCAAATTATTTTGATAAAAATAGGGATTAATTTTCCTTCCAATTGAGTTTTATAATTGCATTTGCTTGTATATAAGCTGGCTTTTAGGAATTCTTTTTCGGTATATATTAGTTATGTAGTATTCTTTATGATATCATGGTGGATTGTTTTCTCTGAATCAAATTGTTTCTGATGGATAGCTCTTATCTGGTTAGGTTTACAACAATTCTTCTGCGTTCTTGTAACTAAACCAGAATACTCATCCATCCATTGATCCTTGATTTTTGCTTATATATGAGGGCGTTCAGGTCTTCATAGAAGCACTTATATTAAACCTTGTTAATTTTGATAAAGGGAATTAGTTAACATGTGCTAGCATTAGACAGGATAATTACTGACTAGATTTTAAGTTTGTTTGACATAATAAGTCGACAATCTGCATGCCATCTTCTGAATAGATTATGTGTTGTAACTGACTATTTTGGCTCAATTGACAATTATATAACTCCTTATATCAACTTGTAGTAAGTAAAATTTTTAGCAGCTACTCTTTGTGTCAGCTTTTAAAGTCCAGGTAAACCTTAATCCATTTTGCAAACACTGGTATGAAGTACTAGTAGCTACAAGCTTTTGAAAAGTTAAAATTTGATATTTTATCATCAGTTGAATATTGCTGGAAATCTTTTTAATACTTAGATCAAATTGCATGTGAAAAAGAATGAAGTCTGTCAGACTACTCTGTGACCATCTCAGGCCATTCAACATTGACTGAGGACGATCCTCCACTGCCTATACAGGGACTACAAGGCTATTACTCACGCTATGGTTAGAAAGTCATGGTTCGTCAACCAGACTTGGATTCCTATCTCCTTTGAACTCAAGGATATAGAGGTACGAGCCTAATGAACAGATCCTGTTCAAGTAAGGTCGCGACTTTTAACTTTTTATGATTTGCAATTTATACTACTAAACTGATATTTCATATTTCTTTGACGTGGGATTTATGTCCGTACTCTTGTTTTTTGGTTGACTGACATGGATTTGCCTAAATGTGACTGTTTTTGCAAATTTATTTGTATTAAAAAAGCTGTTACCATATTTATCATTTTTATTTGAATTGGGAACACACACATGTATATATATGTTATATAACCTAGAAGAATGTGAGAAGTGTTTGTTGTGGTCTATGTCTATGCAATATTGATTAAAGAAAATATATTTATATGAGAAACATGTGATATTTCAAAATATATTCACACCCATTCCAAGACCTTTTGGCATTGCCCCACCCTAATTGCTAACTGTGTAGAATAAGAATTGCAAAACCTGCCTTGTGGTCTATTTGTCATTCCTATTCGTTCTTCAATGAAAGTATGAATTCCACAATTTTGTGTCACTGGTCATGATTCTTTGATGTTTATTTAGTTCTCACGATGAAATAATTCTTATCTTTTAAATTAGTAATGAAATATATCTTTGTTTTTTTTTTTTACTTTGTTATTGTGAGCTAGTTTTGACTGAGCTTATTACTTTCGTATAGTCACCTCTTACTGCATATATATAATAATTTTAATAATATTATTTAGTGAAAAATGGATATTATTTGTTCTCAATGAAAATTTTACTTCTTTGCTGTGAATGCCGAAAAGAAGAAGAATAATAACATTTAAGCCAAATAAATAAAACAATTTTCCAAACTTTAAAAAAAAAAAAAAAACAGAAGAAGAAGCACCATAGGCATATACAACAGTTAAACAAAGAATACTTTTCCAATACAACTTATAGCACAACTATCTTTCTTTCTCGAATAAAGTATAATGTTTAATCCAGCCTTTCAAGCTTTCAAATGATATAATAAAATATACATATATATAATTCTTAGAGTTACAGACTAACAGGTATGCATATATGCTATTATATTATTTAATGCCGAATGAGATATTATTTGTTTTCAATGAGAATTTTTCTTCTTTGATGTCAATGCCAAACAGAAGAAGAATGAAATAGAAACCAAATAAAAAAACAATTTTCCAGAAGTTCAAAATGAGACAAAGTAAAAAAAGTAAAAAAAGAGAAAACATAGACATATACAACCGTTAAACAAACAATAATTTCCCAATACAGCTTATAACACAACTATCTTCCTTTTCTAATGAAATATAATGTTTAATCCATCATTTCAAGCTTCCAAATGATAAGTGATAATATAATTTTTACAGACAATAACAGATATGCAATATGCAGGAACGGATCTTACTTTCTGCTTGTGGTTCTATGAGAAGTTCCTTCATGTACCACTATCGTGTTGCATGCTTTTATTTGTGGTTATATGTAACTTGTACTGGCTCATAAATTTTGCTATGAACTCTGCAGAAGGAATCAAAAGATGAACTTAATCTATGTAAAACCACATATAAACTTAGTGGTTTATTTATATGCATGTTAGCAACTATGATAGGATGTTTGGATAAGCAGTTCGAAACTACTAATAACCGATTACTCTCCAAATAGCCGGTTAAGTAGAGTTAGCGCTTGGAGAGTATTTCAAATTCTATGATTGGCAGTTTAAAATTATAATTGAAATACTAAAAATTAAAATTTTTGACTATCAGCAAGTTTGCTACTAATGGCCAATTGTTGAAAAGTATTTTGTTGCTGCTAGCTTCCATTAGCTAACTACAACTGCCACTTCAAACAAATCCTAAAATTTATGAGCCTAATAGTTTTTTTTTTTTTATTATTATTTTATCAATGACAAGGAACTTATCCCTCACCCACTTTGTCAAACAGAACTTTTGCACCGTAAAAAAGAAGTAAAAATCAATAAAACTCCGCATGTTGTCAGTGCATGTGTTTTGGAAGTATAAACAAACAATATAATACTTAAAGGTGAAGGGTATGACAGTGTTTTTGCTAGCATTTTACCTTCAATATTCAAGAATTGGTGAAATTTCTTCTTTGCAGGATCTTGATTCCTTTTGCCAGCTTCCTCATGTCGACTATGCAGAAACAATAGTTGATTCTCACATTCTAACATGTTTCCATCTTTTCTCTACATGTACAAGAATAAGCAAGGTATGCTCTGAGCTCAAATAACATGAATAAAACAATGACTACTTCAATAATAAATAATAATCTAGTTTTATGAGGAAAGCAGCAATGTTCTTTCTTACGTTGTAATCCTTGTATAGACTGTCGAGTTGTCCTTGAACAACCTCATCCAAATTATTTTTCAGTTCAAGAACTAGAGTCTGTATCAGATGATTATTAGTATGATTTAGTCAGGAGATAGAAACTTAATCAATCTTGTTCGAAAAAGTAATGAAAACAAAATGATTATGAAGTTCCTACGTCGAATATGAAGTCAGGGGCTACATCATGCTCTATTAGATTTTGAAGCTTTCCGCTAATGATATATAGCCTGCAAAAATACCAGACAAATTAGTATTAATAGTTTAGTAATGTGTTCTTGGATGCAGGAGATCAAGAAAATAAGGATATGAAAATATTTGGTTGAGCTTACTGTTTGGGGCTTTGTTCTTGGATCATGTCCTTAGCAATATTTGCAATATCATCTTCCCATCCGGTCAAAATAACTTGATCTTCTGTGAAAGGATAACTGCAGGCAAAAGTCATACAGCGTTATGAAAAGAAAGCAAAAAGGCATAAAGGACAAGGAAAAGTAATGGTTAATCATGTTTATAGGTGTAGTAAATACAATTTGCAGTGCTTGATGCTGTGTTTGTATTTTGAAAATAATAAGGAGAATATTTCTCAAAGGATTTGTTATCTATTGTTTGATTGTAATATTGAAGGGTATCGTAAATGCTATATGCATCACTGAGTGGAGTTATTGAGTTCATAGACACGTTATCGAGTTCGTTTATTTTTGGCTGATTTGCAACCCTATCCATTCTAATTCCATTTATAAACATCTAAATTCTGTATTGTAGGGTTGAATACAATACATGGAAATATTCTACTAAAGACATTAAAATACTTGATCACTACTTGGGGATTCTTGTACATGGACTCAGTATAATACACAATATTATAACTAACTAGTATTACCTTCTTTGCCTGGAGGCTTCCAGCGAACGAATGGCTTGACGGAGATTATTCTTTGAAGTTATAGCTATCCTTTTAGCAAATTGGTGTGGCAATTCTATGCCTTCTTGTTTAGCTATAAATTCTAAAACTTCAACAATCTGAACAGAAAATTTTTCAAAGTTCATCAAACAAGCTAGAGTAAGAAAAAATGTCAAATTAACAATGAGAAATGGTGGCATAGCATTTCTACCTCTTCATCTGAAGGCAACGAAAGCTGAACAGAGGTGCAAAGTTCTTTAATTGGCCGCAGCTTGGAGACTTCATTGCAGCAAAAGAAAAATCTGTTAGACCCTTTATACCTTTCTAGTAGCCACTTAATATATAGAACAGCATCTGCAGATAGCTTGTCTGCATTGTATAAAATGATTGCTGCAAAAAAAAGAACCAAATCATATTAGAAAAAGAAGAAAATTGCTCAATCTGGTTTAAGTGGTTCTATATATATATGTACCTTTGCAAGAATCTGTTATGGAGTGCAAACCATTCTTGGAAATCCTGTTGTTGTTCGTTTCTTTGATAAGTTGAATAATGACATGCTTCTCATAACCTTTAAAATCACAGAGATTTACTTCTATATGTTGAGAAGATACCTTTATTCTTACTTCTATACTACCAACTGATTCCCCCTGTAATGGACATCCAATTGTTGGCAGCTTCATCAAAGAAAGTCATGGAAAAAAAAGTACAAAAGAGAATTATTTACCTTCATCTTAAATGACTTGCACTCTTCCCTTGTCTGTGAAAAGCATTAAATAACATATATTGGCATCAATCTTTAACAAGTAAACGCCATAAGGTAATATTTAGGGTCTCTATGTTATTTATGACTCCCTCGTTTCCACTTTAATAGCAACAAACTGAAGTGATTATATGTAAAACATATTAATAACGAACTGAACTAAAATTAGAAGTACCTGTATTCTATCAGGTCCGTATGCTTCTTGCATCATAGCCCATATCATTGTTCTTTTCCCCACACCAGCAGGTCCTTCAAATATGAAATGGTTACAATCTATGTCTCGAAACTGTAAAAAGAAGCAACTAATTAATTTCCTCAATTTCTTAAGCAGATCAGTGTAAAAGAAAAAAGGAAACACTTACCAAATCCTGGACTTTGGTGACCGTTGCTTTGTGGCAGATAAAATCTTTCAAAGCTTTAGGCCTGTACTTATCAGCCCATGTAAATTTTCTTTCAATCAACGTATTTATGATCTTCTCTTTTTTCTCATCAATATTACTAGTCCTACACACTGGAGGCGGAGGTGGCTGCGGCTGTGGTGGTGGTGGTGATAGTGTTGATGGCTTATTAGATTCTGATGATGATACTCTCTCCCTCAATGGCTTCTCCTCGCTAATAACACTCAAAACATTCTTATGGCCACTCTCTTTCTTCTTCTCCCAAGAAGAAGAATAAGAGCAACTAGGCTGGCCCTGTTCAACTCCTGCGGTGGCTTCCGCAGGAGCTAAAGAAGCAGCCATAACAGGGACTGGGACTGGAACCGGAACCGGAGCAGGAGCATTAGTATTATTTTGCTTGGAAGACTTATTAAAGCAAGAAGTCCATTCTTGCATTTTAACAAGAACAAAAGAAGAAAAAGAAGAGGAAGTAGTGGCAATAGTAGTTGCATGGCTTTCACGTCCAGGACTAGTTGACGCAGCAGCAGCAGCCGCTGGGGAAAGAAACCTTTCACGGTTGAGAATAAGCGAATAATCAGTAAGTCCTTTATAATATGGACTACACTTAGCATTTCTATCATCAATGAGACTTTGATGAGCATTATTAACAACTTCGGTCTGAAAAATTGCTGCTTGTCTTTTGTTATGAGCTTCAAGACTCTCTTCTGTTAAGTCAGAATGAGAAGAATCGTTGCTTCTCCTTCTGATACTAATAAGGCTACCAAGCTTGTTTACATTACTCCAAGCTTGCCAATAAGAAGACTTGCTCGAGCGAGAGCCCGAGCAAGTTGAGCGAGTGGAAGGAGTGACACGGTGTTGGGTTTTTGATTTTGAGGAAGAAGAGAGAAAAGGATCAGAAGTAGAACGTGGGATTGCTGGATTCGGCATCGGATTTGCATTTACAGAGACAAATGTTTTGATTTGAAGGAAGTAGAATTAGGAGATACTAACTAAAACTATGTAGTGGTGATGAATTCTAGGAATGGAGATTAGGCGAACGTTCCTAAGTTGGCGTCACAAACTATGGTTGTTTCATTGTTTGTATTGCATCTAACCCACTTACCTGGCCAAGTTCAAGAGATTGATGTTTGATTTTATTTGACCATATCAAGTTGACTATAGATATTGGAAGAAGAACAAGAAGATGAAGATGAAGATGACATGCCAAGAGTGTCACTCGTTTCACATGATCCAAAAGATTCATATAAATCTGGAACACCCAATATCCCAATTACATTTTGTTCCAACACATTTTCACAACAAACTTGTCCTCGTGTATAAATTCTCAAAATATATACACCTTTTATTCGTGGAAGATTCAATGGATTGAAATAATTTTATTTTATAGGCTATATAACTTTCTCCTTTAGATAATATTCATCATTATATTAATGATAACTTTTTATGGTGAGAAGACACGAACTCAAGACATTTCATTCCTCACTTCTTTTATAAAACATAAAAGTTAATCAAATTATACTTGATTAGCAAAAGAATATTGTATAATATATAACAATACAAAGTCCATTAAGAGCAACCCAACCCAAAAGAGGCAAAAATGTATAATTCAATTAATTAATTATGCTTACTTTACATATATATATATATATATAGTATTATGAGTACTGTTTTCAGAAGGAAAATAGAAATAAATTTTGGATCACCGGAGAAGATAGGTTAATTTATTTTTATGATTGAGAGGAAGTAAAAGACGAGGTTATGAGTTTACTGCTCTTTTCCAAATAGTATTTGTCATACAATTTTAAGAATAATTAGTTAAATTGTAATTTTTTTTTTATTTTTTCATATACCTTTAAAAATTCTAAAGATCGCGTATTAATGATTTCAAGATTTCAAAATTAATTATTTTAATATTTCTTTTCACTTTCTATTAAATTCAATTAATACTAATTATTTACACCAATTATTATATAAAGATATTGTACAAAAAATAAAAAATATTCTAAAAAATTGCATATATCACAATTATTTTAGAACATAAGAAAAAAACTGAGATTATAATTTTAAAACGGGAAGGAATATTTGAAAAAAATGAAAACAAAATCATGCTCTTTGCTTATCAACTTCTACCTTTAATAAACCCCCTTTTGATTTCTTGACGGTCGGGCTTCGGTTTCTTTTAACTTCAGGGGCTATTCCGTCATTTCAATAACCAAACGGAAGTGTGCCACGTGCTTTTCACGTGATAAAAAAGCGGCGATTATGCTTTTAGCCTGTTAAGTATTTATTGTAAAAAAAAAGAAACTGTTATGTATTGATTACGTAATTAGTTAAAATTTAATGATAAAACTAAAACTATTAACTGAAGCTTCAAAGAAAAAAGAAAATTAATGTGATTTTATTTATTTATTTTTTCTCTTCATCTTTCTCTCTGTTCTGTTGCTTTAGTTCTTACAGCTAAGAGATCTGGAAATGGCAATTTAGTTCCACTGTTACTGTAAGGTGAAACGTGTCTAATTTAGATCCACTGAGAGAGAAAGATGGGAGGAGGATATGCTTTGAGGTCGGCTTTTGATTCGAAATCAGGGCAGCTAATAATGGTTGCTTTGTTGTTAATGGTGGGCTCATTCTACTTTGGCACTCTCTTTGGCAACAATGGTTCTATTTATATATATAACTTCTCCTCCTCTAATTCCTCTTCTCCTTCTTCCTCTGGTATGTTCTTCTCTCTTTCTTTTTATAGTAATCCAGCTTTTGTGTGTTTTCTTTAAAGAAATTTTTGTATCTGTAGAATATGTTGCATGATCTTTGTGTCTTTTTTAGTTTTATTGAAATTAATTCGGAGCTGGATTTTGACAAAGATTACATTACATTAATGTATTAGTTACTAAATTGGTCCTCAACTTTAACTTAGTTGTACTTTATTTTGAACTTCCTTTATTGATGTCCAAGCATAAGAAGATTTATCTTTGGTATGAATTACAGTGTAAAATTGCAATTTTGGGATTAGTATAGAATGTAAAGTTCTACATTGATCAGTTTCTATTGATTGGGATTATTTGGGATCTCTGAATGCATTGGAAGACCGCCATGTGGCTGCATTTTCAATATATAGCTGTTACTCTGTCTATATTGATGTGAGAACGATTTGGAAGATTCTTTAGTAGAATTTTTAGAATTATCGAAAGTTTGGAGCAGGGTACAATCTAGAAATTGCAGATTGTAGAAACTTGGCATTTTCTTTAACAGCAATTGCTCTAAGTGTAAGTTGGACATGTATTTAAGAATTTTGAGTCGGAAGTATAAAATGGAACTGTTGACCATATATAATAAGATTTTAGCTGGACTATGCATTACTTTGCTAGTTACCTACACATTGGATTTTATTGGAAGGGTGTGTTAGAGCCTCATTACATTAGTTGAATGTACTTATAAATTGCAGAGTTGCCAGAGCCCCAAATAAGATAAACGAACACTGCACAGTTAAAGTTTAAGTCTTGATGAGGATAGAATCATGTTACTAAGAATATGTATGAGCTAATGTGTGTTTTTGCCACCAAAACTGTGATTTAATTTATTTCAACCTTCAGGAAAGCTGCTTCATGTGAATGCTAGCACTTATGAAGCCTTGCAGTTTGTGTGTAACATTGAATTTTGACAACTTGGCTTATGTAAATATAACATGTACAATTGCAGGTAGCTACACATTTTCCAATAAAATTGCTCTTGCCAATCGGAGAACACCATTGGTTATCCCAGAAAATGGGATGAACATATGTCCCCTGAAGTTCAATGAGCATATTCCTTGCCATGATGCGACTTATGTCACAACTTTGCTTGAAAGCTTAGACCTTTCTAGGCGAGAAGAGTTAGAGAAGCATTGCCCTCCACCTGAAAAGCGTTTATTTTGCTTGGTGCCACCACCAAAAGATTATAAATTGCCAATAAAATGGCCAACCAGCAGGGATTATGTGTGGCGGAGTAATGTAAATCATACACGCCTTGCAGAAGTCAAAGGAGGACAAAATTGGGTGCATGAAAAGAATCAGCTATGGTGGTTTCCTGGTGGTGGTACTCATTTCAAGCATGGAGCACCAGAGTACATTCAGAGGTAACTTTGGCTGACTTTTATGTATCTCATTACCTCTGGTCCAGTTTTATCATTTCTGCAGGAGGAAATGATTATATCATTATTGATAAATTCATTACCCAAGCACTCAGTGCATATTTGTGACTCATTTTTTTGTTCATTTTAGTTTTTTTAATCTAAGTGCAGGTTAGGAGATATGATAACTAGTGAAACAGGTGATCTACGCTCAGCTGGGGTTGTTCAAGTTTTGGATGTTGGCTGTGGGGTTGCTAGCTTCTCAGCCTATCTTATTCCCTTAGATATACAGACAATGTCCTTTGCTCCCAAAGACGGTCATGAAAATCAGATCCAATTTGCTTTAGAACGGGGAATTGGTGCTATGATATCTGCCATTGCCACAAAGCAACTACCTTATCCCTCTAGCTCTTTTGATTTGGTTCACTGTTCAAGGTGTCGTGTTGATTGGCATGAGAATGGTATGTTGATGTTTCTTACATATTTATGCACACAGAGATGTTAGGGAATTGTTTGCAGAGAGTTGGAATGCATCGACAGCTTTTACTAATGTTAAAACTTTTTATGAGATAAAACTCTATTTATAATAATCATGCACTCATAATGTTTCTCCTATTAAAATGATAATACTCACAAAAATAACTTATCAACTGATTATTACTTACTTTAATGGTTATGAAGCAGCAAAAATCAAATTGGTGATTGCTTGCCAAAAGAAGCAACCAGTGGTTGTTATTTGTTTTCATGGTTGCACCAACCACACACACACACACACACACACACACACACACACACACACACAAAAAGAAAAGAAAGAAGAAGAAGAAGAAGAAGAAGAAGAAGAAGAAGAAGAATTGGGCTGGAGGGATTATTGCACGACTGTATTGGTGGTAGCTATCACCTTTCAAGTTTAAATTGTTTGTTTTGTAAAACTTGTTTCTCTATCTAGTGCAGAGAATGCGGAACTTATAGAGCATCTCTGCAACCAATGCTAAATCTGGTGAATAGTTGCTGGGAATATGTTTGATATGCAGCTGGTGCCAGTGGTGGAACTAGAAATTAAAAAGAATTAATGAAATGAGGGGGCTAAAAATAAAAATTTTGAGGGGATGAATGTAAAGGAAGAAAAATCAATGGATGACCAAAAAGAATCAGGAGGATAGGAGTTTAAAAGAAAAATCAATGGATGACCAAAAAGAATCAGGAGGATAGGAGTTTAAAAGAAAAATCAATGGATGACCAAAAAGAATCAGGAGGATAGGAGTTTAAAAGAAAAATCAATGGATGACCAAAAAGAATCAGGAGGATAGGAGTTTAAAAGAAAAATCAATGGATGACCAAAAAGAATTGACCAAAAAGAATCAGGAGGATAGGAGTTTAAGGTTACAAAAATGATAGAATATATAAATTGCAAGTAGGATTAAAAGAAAAAAAAAAAAAAACATGTAGTCCCCCTTTGGTTCTGCCAATGGCTAGTTCTGATATGGGTTGGTAAAAGTTACATGGTCCTGTAGATTGTACTATTGTTAATGAACATTTCTAGAAGACCGTCATGATCTTGTACAATGTAAGAAAAGACAAGTTTTCAAAGAGATGTGAAGACAAGTTTAATGTTGGTTTCTTAATCTGAATGAAGAGCTTTTTAACTGTTCCAGCAGCATAAGAAGACATGATGGATTGAAGTTCTCAGTTTTTCAAGCTTGTACATACCTTTTCTCTATTTTCTTTCTGGCAGACATTGTTGCATTTAGATTTTGGCATTTATGAGAACCTTGACTGACAATGTCTCACTAGTATTCTTAGAAAGAATCATCCTGAGTTGAAAAGATTGATTCTTCTGCTTTTTCTTGCATATTTCAAAGAAATTTCGATGAATTTAATTTATTTTTATATTGTCCCCTGCAGATGGTATTTTACTGAAAGAAATTAATCGTCTCCTGCGACAAAATGGATATTTTGTCTATTCAGCTCCCCCTGCGTACAAGAAGGATAAAAATTATCCGCAGATTTGGGAAAAGTTGGTAAATCTGACTTCAGCAATGTGCTGGAAACTCATTGCTCAAAAAGTTCAGACAGCAATTTGGGTTAAAGAAGAAAATGAGTCCTGCCTAATGCGCAATGCAGAACTGAAGCTTATAAATGTATGTGCTACTGTGGATGACATTAAACCATCGTGGAATACACCACTACAGAATTGTATACGAAGAATAGGCGAGCGAGTAAATCCTCAGAAACTCCCTCTCATGCCAGTGCGTCTCTCCATATATTCTGAGAGTCTCATCAGAATAGGTCTACTTCTATCTTGCTTTTTATGAGCTCAATTACCTAGTTTTTTTTCTGCTTTCCCTGCTTAAGTCCATTACTCTACTTCATACCTAATAACATTTTAAAGTACAATTTTTCATTTTTATATGGAATGGAAGGTGAGATTTTTAGTTCCAAGTGATAATCCCTTAAATATAGGTCAAATGCATTTAGAAGCCCTAATACAGTTTTCAAATGGACAATTAAGCCTCTCTCTTTTTTTGTTCTTTCAAATGTACAATTTGACATTTTTCTTTTGGAGCAAATTAGTCCAATCCATGTTGTCTAGGTGTAAATAAAGTCAAATAATGCTTATAAGGCAAAATTATGTTGATTATACTTTTAGTCTTTCACTACTGTAGTTCTCTAAATGTTTAAACTTTCAAAGTAAATGAATATAATGACCACCTATAACTCCACCACATCATTTTTTATTTATTCTTGCTCATTGACTCTTTACGTCCCACTTTTGCTCAAATGCTACTATTTTTCTCCCCCTATTTGTTGGATAAGCATTTTAACTTAAAGAATGCTACTCAAATTTGACTCTATTAAAAAACTTGAGGTTTAGAGAACTTGACTGGAACTTAGTCAAGCTTTATTTTTCAAACTTAATATGGGCTCAATATGTAATACTTGAGCTCAATTTGACATGAATATCATTAAAATTTTAAGTTTTTGGATAAATTTGAATTAAACCTTGAATTGGCATTTTTTCATAAATTACAATTGAAGGTATATAATATAAAACTGAACTCTACTCAATTAAAGTGATTTGAATTCAAATACTTTGCAAGTAGTGCATGAATAACTTCACTAATTTATAACCCCAACTTCTCAACAGGAAAAGAAAAGGTAAAAAATGAAGAAAGGGCTACTTTGGTTGGCTCCTTGTGCATTTCCATATATAGCAGTTGAGGGCATGATTGAATGTGAAATATGAATGGGCACTGATGTTCAACCTCATAATTTAGACTAATTGCTATAACTACCCAAAAAGATACTTTAAACATTGCAAAAGGGGCTTTTTTCTTGCTGGGCTTGAATGTTATTATTATGAAAAGGGGAAAGGGGCAACCAACATAGGGGGCTAGCTTGCTTCCACTGGCGGTGGGCGGGCGAAGGGTCCAAAGGACACGTAGATTTTTCAATGATTTCTGGACATGCTCATTGCAGGGATCAGTAAAGAAGACTTTGCTTCAGATGCCATCTTCTGGCAAAAACAAGTCAGCAACTACTGGAAGCTGATGAATGTCAGTGAGACAGATAATCGAAACATCATGGACATGAATGCTTTTGTTGGTGGGTTTGCAGTGGCTTTGAACACATTGCCTGTTTGGGTGATGAATATTGTTCCTACGAGCATGAACAATACATTATCTGCTATTTATGATCGGGGACTCTTAGGTGCTTTTCATGATTGGTAAGAATGTACGGATCAAGTTTGACTATTGCTATATGCTAATTTTTGAAATATGTTTTTAGTGATATACTGGTTTGCTTATTATGCTTATTTTCTTTTTAGGTGTGAACCGTTCTCGACATATCCTCGCACATATGATTTGTTGCATGCCAATTATCTGTTCGCTCATTACAGAAACCATGGAGAAGGTTGCTTATTAGAAGATATAATGCTGGAGATGGACCGTGTCATACGACCTCAGGTAATTCTTTTGAATGAAAGTATCTTAATGCTGATATACGCTTATGTAGCTAGCTGCAAAGCTATGCAACACCCCCCCCCCCCTCTTTGAATGAAAGTACTTAAGCTGAATATACGCTTATGTAGCTAGCTGCAAAAGCTATGCAACACCCCCCCCCCCCCTTTTCTCTTCGCTCTCTTCTTTCCTACTCTCCCCCCCCCTTTTCTCTTCGCTCTCTTTCTTTCCTACTCCTCTACTTAATAGGCCAATAGTTGCTGATTTGTGCAAAGTATTTGAACATATAGACCGATGTGATAATTTTCAGGAAAAGAACAAATCTTGATATGCGGTTTGTCGTGGATAGTTACATAAAACTTTTCTGGATTTGCTTTAGTTCTTTATTTGTGTTGTTTCACTTTTAGTTTTAGATGCATGGTAAGCTAGAATTTATCTTATGTTCTTTCTCATTGGTTGAGATCATTATAAACTTTGACTAAAAATGTCTTGATGATTCAATTATCCCATTGCTTCTCTAATTTATCAGAATCAGTTATAGTCTTATTTTTGAAATCAAGTTTGTGTTGTTCGACCTAAATAATTAATTGCAGACCTCAGACTCATTGAGCAAATGAAATATGCAGGGATTTATTATCATTAGAGATGAAGAATCCATCATAGCAAGAATCCGTGAATTAGCACCAAAATTTCTGTGGGATGTTAAATCACATGCTATGGAAAACAAAGAAAAGAAGCTCGAAACGGTGCTAATTTGTAGAAAGAAGTTTTGGGCAATCATCTAAGGTGTGCTCCCATATACATATTTTCCACTAACAAATTTTCTCTCAACCTAGAAAGGCTACTTGTACCATGAGTCTGCTAGATCTTCTCTTATGTTCTATCCTTCTTTCTCTGGCGGCGTTGCCATATGCTTATGGACCTGAGAGATGAGGTCAGGTTATAAGCCTGTAATTTGTTTATTTATTGCTTTGTAATTATTTCATTTCATGTGTTTGTTAGTTTTTCACTTTTGACAAAAGTTTTAACATCTAAATGGATATGAGATTATAGAGCTAGTTACCTCTCTTGCATGCTTGTGCATTTCATCTTTATTGCTCTCATGTCATTGGACTAAGTTCTTAAAGATTTTGGCCTATGATTTTCATCATTCTAACAACAATAATCATTATGTTCTTTATTTCTAAGTAGAGTGCTTAAATAGCTCTACTACCCACTTCAGAAAAATGACATATATATATATATAAATGCATTGAATAATATTTTGTAAGAGTATTAGACCTTCTCATTTGTGGGGTTGGGCCTAAGCCTGGGCAAGATACATACACGTATTACTCTTCAAAGAAATAACAGCGGAGCTTGTCTCAGGAGAAAGTCTAGTCTCATACCAAAAAAAAAACAGGAAGAAGTCTAGTCTCCTATACATAAAAGCTAATTTGATGTCGCACTTAAGATATTTTAGATGTATGACCTCAAATTCTCAATTAAAATAATAAGTAATCAAATTAAAACATTTTCACTGAATATAGTAAGTTATTAGGTCTTTAAATAAGTTTTCAAATTTAAAATTAAATAATTATTTATTTAAAATTTAATTTTTAAAATTTGAATTTTACAAACATCAACTCAGACCACTATAAACAAAAAATTAAGAAAAAGTGTTTTCTCAAACCCAATTCTGATTTACCGGCAAATCTGAATTAAATTCCCTGTTTGGAAATATTGAAAATAAAAGAATTATTGTAATAGCGATTGCTTTGAGTTGATGTCTAGGCTTTTAGATAAGTTGTTCTTTTGGAGTATGTGATATGTCTGGTGAAGGACAGTCGAACTATGAGAGATAGATGTCTGTAGGAGCAGGGGCTTTCTTTTCTTTTCTTTTCTTTTTTTTCTTTAGAATAGTATAATTATTTGTCCTCGTCCTTTTGGATATTTTATGTTTGCTTTATCATATACTCTCCTAATTAGATACATCAGTGTGCCAGTTCTATCAATTTTCTTCCTTTTCTTCTCTTTTTTATTTTATATTTCAGACATTCTTAAAATTAATTCTTGTAGAGTTCTTTTTTCTTTCTTAAAATTAATTCCTTTTTCTTTTTTCTTACAAATTAATAGAGTCTTGAAATTATAAAAATAATATTTATTTTAAAAAAATTAATACTAATTTTAAATAGAGAGAATATTGTACGAGTCTATTTTAAAATTCGAGATGAGCCAATTTATTAAACAGAGTTAAAATAAATATTTGGGAGCTGAATTTTAAGTAGCTGAGGAGCAAGTTGCTTCTTTATGTTCCTATCATCTCTAATCAGTGACTAACATTAATTAATATTTAATGCATAAATTGTGAAAAAATAAAAATAAAAGGAAAGAAAAAAAAAATTAAAGAGAGAGGGCCACTAAAAGGAAACTGATATGACAAGACAACCCCACGCTTGTCGGTGTTAATGGGCCCCCACAGCCACACACACACACACGCTCGCATTATTTCAATTTGCAGTGTCCCCTTTTGCCTCTGACTGAGTTGACCCTTTTTTAACCTCTTCCTTCTTCTCTCTCTGCCTGTTATAGTTTTTAATTACCTAAACCTCCATTTTTACCGATCCTTTCTCATTCAATAAGCTTTTTAATGGCTCTATCTAAAAATATAAATTCATTGAACTCTGTCCATATCTGTTGCTGTTCGAACTTCTTCTTCTTTGTCTTTTTTTCTTTACATGGTTTCTCTTTTCACGTGGGTCTTTCTATCTACAAACCCTAAAAAACTCCAAGAAACCAATAATTTTCATAAATTTTCCTTTTTCGTATATATATTTTTCATGTATGCTTGCTAATTTTTTCTTTTGATCGTGGTTGAAATTCTAATTATTCATCATTTGTAGTCAATATTCTAATTATTGTTTAATGAACTGAGCAATTATCAATTAAGAATCTCTCAAATTATTAATTTTTTTTTTTTTTTGGTTTTATTTCTTCTGTTCTTTGGAAACTATAGGAGGGCATATCCCAAGATTGATTAATTGATAAGGTTTTGTCTTCCTTAACTATAAATAGACAGTTTTTATTTTGTTTTTATACATGCTTGTTTGGTAAAAAATTGGAATAATAAAAAATTGGATTCACATCAATTTGAAAGAAAGCATCTAATAATTTTTTATTATGCCTAAATCTCTAAATTAACAATGCATTTTTTATTAATACAAATACTTAATCATTGTGCTACAGGAATTAATTAATGAGGTGATATTTATAATATAGAGATAACAAGATGCTCTAATTTCAAATGGGCGTTGTAATTTTGTACTACTATTTTGACTTTTTATTGATAAAATATTAGTGAAATTATTATGTTTAAATAAAAATTTTAAAAAAATATTTACGATTGATGTTAATTTATTTTAACATATATATTTTGTTTTTTGAAATTTATTCTTTTTATCTATTTCGGCTTCTGTTGATTGAGAAATAAATTTATTCATTAATTTTTTTAACAAATGAAAGCTGATTCATAATATAAGATCTATTCAACAACATTCGTTGCTTTGATAGCTCTTTGGATCTGTTCGGCAAAGTTAGCTATTAGTTGTTTTAATAGTGTTTATTTGTTAATTGTTTTAGTAATTTTTCGTGAAACAATAAAAGCTAAATATTACATGAGCTAACTGTTCATAAAATTCTATGTTTTAGTAGCGTTTTAACTGTTTCAGTAATTTTTCATGAAATGGTAAAAGCTAAACGTTAGAAGGGTTAACCTCTAAAAGCTAGTTCAAATACTATGTTACTGAACATTATAAAAAATAACATTGTGCATTTTGACTAGCTATTTAAAAAGCTGTTTTCGAACACCGCCTTAACCGTTTTAGTAGAATTTAATTGTTTGAGTAATTTTTTACGAAATGCTAAAAGCTAAACATTAGAAGATTAACCTGTTATAAAATGTTACCTTAATATCTAAAAGCTAATTAAAACGTTATATTTACCAAACTAATTAAAAAATTATTGTTGAACACTATCCATATTTATCACGTCTTGTCACCTCATCCACATCAACATTTTACGACTTGATCTTTGATATAAAAAAAAACAAGTTATGTCAAGAATTTGATGTTTGAAAGCAAAATGATACCAACACCAATGTGAAAATTTAAAAATGAGAAGAACCCAAAACAAGAAGGTTAGTTTTTTAAGTGAAGCATACATAAATAGATTATTTCCTAATTATCATTTAGAATGTTAATTAGCAGTCTAATCAATAAAGTGAAAATGATGGCCAATTATAGAAATCGGTTGATCTTAGCAAAAAGGCCAAGAAAGTTACATATCATAGGATACTCATCTCATCAACAAAACTGCCTGAAAATTGATTTTTATTACTTCTATTTTTTTGGGTTCTTTGCAATTTTTCTTCTTCACTTTAGGTGCAAAGTCTACTAATTACAAACCAGCCATTACCAGAGAAGAGAATTTTTGCACTAAGTGGTAATTAATACTTTGTCCATAATACCTAAATAAAGGTTCATTAAGGTTTTTAGTCTTTGCCTCCATTTTGTAAAAGAAAAAAAAAATCAAGCATTTATATAAAATGAGAAATGACAAGATTTTAAAAAAAAAAACTCAAGCATTTAAAAGTAATTTAATTATTATATATAAAAATGAAATTGCACTATTAAACTTAGACAATTAATTAAGATATCTTTGCATACTATCTCATGAAATTAAATTTCTTATTATAGTTAATTATTTATGCATAATAATAATAATAATAGTAATATTACATATCTCATATATAAAATTTGATTGCAAACAACCTTTTTTGGTAAAAGTTGAAGAGATGTGCGATGAAAGTTGGGAAAAATAGTGATTACTAGCCTTCCATATGCTATAGTTCAAAACCTTAAAAGCACATATAGGACACAGTGTAAAATCAATATAACTCTATGCATAGAATATTTTTTAGCTATCTATTTTTTTTTTTTTTTGTTTTTGTAAAAAAAAAATTCATTTGGGTCCTAGAAGATTTCTTATCACATTTATGATTTATCTATCCACTTGTGCTATTCTTTTTATTAATAGTTAAAAGAAGAGCATGATGTTTTTAAAAAGCTTTCCCTAAAAATCATTAATGGGTGTTTATTTTCTACTTGCTAATTGTGTCAATCTCTTCTTCTTTTCTATTTTTTTCACTAAAAAGAATTGTCATAATTTCCATTTTAAGGCCAAAAAGAAAAAAAAAAAAAAAAAAAGCACTTTGTGCTTTGTAAAAGTTAAAGGTTTAATCTTACGTACAACCTAAAGTTTGGGAAGGGAGTTCCAAGTGCATGCACATTAGTTTCTATTATTATTATTTTTCCTAATTAAAAGTCTCTAGTGGTTTTTTGATGTTGGGATAAAAATATCTTTTGTTGCAAATGTGACTAGTTTACATATAAAAATTACTGAAATTTGAAAATTTCAATGAGATAAGTCTTTCTAATAGAGTGAATTTTGAAGTCTTTTTACAATTTTCTTTTCTTCTTTGATATTATTAAAGATTTGATTGTGTTCGGCAACAACAACAGTTGTTTAAGTAGTTTTGTCAAAACGTTGAACGCTACTTTTTATAGTGTTCAGTAACATAACATTTGAATCAGCTTTTAAATGTTAAGGCAGCGTTTTGTGAAAAATTAATCTATATAACGTTTAGCTTTTAGTGTTTCATGAAAATTTATAAAAATAACTAACAGCTATGAAAACAACTAATTTTACCACACATAACATATATATATCGTTTTATGCTTAATGTATAAATAATATTTAAATAAAACTCTTACAACAATAATTATTTCAAATTTTAAATTCTTAACCTTATAAATAGAAATTAATATATATTTCCTCGTATAATTTTTTGCTAAAATTTATTGTTAATATACTTAGACCGTTGTAATATTATATTAAAATCCACCTAACATTTTTTAAGCTGCCTTTATTAATTATCTTATTCTTTGACATAAATTTTTTTAATGCTTAGTTGACATTTTAATTTAGAAACCTAATGTTCAATATTATATAATTAGAATCATCTCGTTATTGTTTA